TTTAAAGGTCAGGAATCCTTCTTGGATTTTGGGATTACTCAAAGGGAATGACAGGAAATGTGTGAAAGGCTGCTTCTTCCGGTAACTCTCAACAAGGAGCTCAACACGTGTGACTGCAGATGAGACTGCAGCTTTATGGGAACCTGTGATAACTGTCAGGCAGAGAAAGTCAATTAAAGAAAAATATTTTTGTTTCAGAAAGTGCTCTCTAACGTTGTATTATATAGTTAATTCTCACCAATCTCCCCCTCCACTCCTTGTTTTGGGATGCTGATAGATGTCTTTGTGTCAGACTCCAGGCGTCTCTTTGTCTCTCCTTTTTTTCCAATGATGTATCTGCAGAACAAAAACATTATGCTGCTTATAAACAAAACTTCTTGTGCTTTTCAAATTAGGGATGATACACAACAATCCAAACATGTGCATGTTGTTGATAACAACTCACTTGTAAAGAACACTTGGGACTTCAATGGCACAGCGGTATCCTTTATCAGTCTGTTCAATTAACTTTGTGTCACAGGCTTCATCTTCTTCGAGGTATTCACTCTCTAACCAATATGAAAACACACATTTATATTACATACATTTATATATTTTTGAGTCTTTGATAGGGAATTGTGGCCACAGGCTGACAGCACTGTCTGTGACTAAAAAACAGTTGCTACCACTGACAGGATTCAATTACCTGGTGGCCCCATGTAAGACACATCTTCTTCTTCTTCCTCATAATGTTCCTCCTTAGAGTCCTTAGTGACATTCCTCCGGTATATTCTCCCATTTATATTGATAAGAGCTGGTCGTAAAACGTCCATAATGTAAAGCAGCTAACGTTAGCTCAACCTAAGTAAACCTCAGAACTGCTCGCTATAAAGTGAGCTAAATGCTCAAGTTAGCAGCCAAGTAAATAAGCTTATTTTGCTTTAAAAACACTTATTTTGCCATGGAATAACTTAACTTGTGAGTTGACACATTGGTTTATGTGCTGTTCGGCAGACAGGGTCCTGGGTTGACGTTTAGTAGATCTACAAATGGAAATTAACAATCATCCAGGCGAACCATCCACATCACTGTTAAATCATAGGCACGAATGCCGTAGCGTAAACGTAAAGTGCTGTCCTTGACGTAAAGTAGTGGCAACAGATCTTAACAAACAACAGAACCAACTGCACGGAATCAAATACGAAACACATTCATAACTGAGACATCGGCAGTAAGTTTTATTGTTTTTAAATCGTTGTTATTGCTGTGTTTTATTCAATAGTATTCATGGTAAATGGCAGTTGCCTACATCAGTGCAACAAGAATAGTTAGCTTTCTTGCTAGCCACCTAGCATAGTTGTCGCAGTTAATACATTGATATTTGATTGTACCATTTCTATTTAGATTAGAAAACCTACACAGTTTAGCTATGTCAGGCATGTGTGGCTATGGTGATAACAGTAGCAGTCCATAACTGTGTTCAACAAATGATATGTGTGGTAACCACAGCCACAGTAGCATAACAGCTCATTTTCTTGATGTGTTTTTGAAGGTTTTCTGAGGCAATGGCAGCATCTTCCTCGTCCTCCTCTGCGGGAGGGGTCAGCGGCAGCTCGGTGACCGGCTCTGGGTTCAGTGCTTCAGAGCTCATCCCTCCAAGGAAAGTCCTGTACACATATCCTAAAGGTGCAGGGGAAATGATGGAAGGTGAGATAAATGCTGTGTATGTAATGTATTATATGTAATGTCTTGTCTTTTATCTGAACCCTGAGTCTGTAATTTTGATTGATTGAAATCCCACTGTTAAATGCATCTGTCTTTACCTATCTCTCCTTTTCCAACAAGGCAGGGAATATAGGGGTCATACAATGAGATATAGTTAACATATGAGGCTGCATTGATGAACCTGGGCCAAATATGTTAGGGCGTGTTGTGTCAAAAACAACTAGGATTTGAGTCTTGTGCAATTTGTACTATCAGTTCTCAGCATCTGTTAACGGAATGATATACATACGTGCCAAAGTATTTTCTCAGGACAATGCCAGATTCCAAGAAGCCTCTTTTATCCAGCTGTAACAACACAAGTATAATAAATGCAGCTCTTAACTTCAACAACTAAAACTAAAAAGCTGAACCAATACCAAATTTGATAACTTTGTTAAGACATGTAGCATACAGAATTGTTTTTATTCTAGCCCTTGAGGCAGATGGAAAAGTCAAAATAACCTGCAATGTTTTGTAATGTTGGCTTGTATTTATCTTTTAGAAAGAAACAGTTTGTTTTTCATCAATGCATTAGCCTCATGTAAAACATATGAATTAATATTATTAATAATAATGCATTATCAATGTAGGGCTTTAGTATAGTCATAGCACACATCATGTGTCATCTTTTTTTGACTGAATTCCCATAAAGTACTGTGAAATATTAATTGTCAAAGTGAGGTATTGGTAACGTTTTTATCATTAGCCTCATTGCCAATGCCACTGACATGGGATTTGTGTATTGGATTGTATCGTAAAAGGCCGCCTGGCTCCTCACTTCGCTGCCTCTATAGCTCGAAATACAATAATACCAATGGTTTGATTTGCCAAATTGCTCCAGCTTTTCCTCTTTGTTCATTTAAAACCTCTGAATGCTGATAATTCACAATATTTAACCTGAACTTCTCACATCAGTGAACTATCAGCTGAGCTTCAATTCTGTCTTCACAAGCATAAAACTTCTTTATTTTGTTGTGTTCCCTTTTAGATGGCACTGACAGATTTTTATGCGAGTCTGTATTCAGCTACCAAGTCGCCTCCACACTTAAACAGGTCAAACGTGGTAAGTCAGTAACTGTGTTTATAAAAAATGTGTTCATTTGTCTTGATCCATTAACAAATTGGTACACTAAAAAGTAACAATTATGTGTTCTTCCAGATCAACAAATGTCTCGACTGGAGAAACTTGCGAGCTTGGTGGAGGAGCTGGAAGCAGATGAGTGGCGGTACAAACCAATTGAACAGCTATTGGGATTCACGTCGTCTTAAATAAAGAGACCCAGATGCCTTGATTAATAAATTAGCCAAATAAAAAGAGATGGTTTATTTCAGTTCATAAATTATATTCATTCTTAATGATTTATTTCATATTATAACTGTGGAATATTATCTGGAGATACTGAATGTGAGTTTTATTATTTAACTTTACCTATTGTATGAGTGTTTTTTTGTTTTTTTAACAACCTGTTATATTTGACCCATACTATAAGAAACCACTGTTATTATAAAATCCCCTTTTATTACTGACAAACCAAACAAAAAAACGTTTTTTAGGCTAATAAAGTTGTTTTGTCAATCCAATTTGCTTTCTGCATCGGTGTTACAAGAGTTATTATTGTTCCCTTGAAGTGAGGCATTTTGTTTTCCACATGGCTGCACTGTAGCTCATAAATCTAAAACCTGCTGCCTGCCTTCTCCTCGTCGCTGCTCGCTTCAACAACACTTGGAGCAAAAACAAAGAGGGCTTGTAAATAAAGTCATACTTGGATATTCTTTGTCTTGTGTTTTTTTTGTATAGTTTGTTCCTAACCCACTTTGCTGATTTAATTCCTGGTGAGTAGAAACTAAATCGTTGTGCTTTTGTATGTTCAAAATGTACAGCTTTATTTGTTGAACCAAAGTTGGAAACCAACTGATTTTGTCTTTTGTCAGTTTTTGCTCCAATGAGAGCAAAGAAAGGGTGGTGTTTTCCTCAGTGAATGGATGTTCTCTAACAATTAAGGGGTGGGGACGCACATAATGTACTGTTCTTGCCGCTAAGGCCGGCCCTGAACATTAAGACACACCCATATCTGCAGCTTCCTTCCAAGAGTTCAACTATTTTGTACATAACACTTTCTAGGAAGTTACTTTACAAGTTGTTTGCTCAAACTATTTCCTGACTTTACATGAGCATCTGAAGACTTCAACTTCAGTCTGAAATCTTTGTGTATGTAAAAGGAACAAACATTTCTTTATACTGATGAAACTTCTCGATGACTCTTAATTCATCACTTCCCCCTCAGAACATTCTGTACCTTCACGTGTTTACGTCTTTAAGTTCCTCCCAGACTTTACACAGTCCGCCCCACTCTTCGGTAACAGAACAGAAACTGGCTTCTTTCCAAACAATTTAAATCTTTAAGCAAACATTGAGTGTGTCATGTACAGTGCGGCCCTGGCAGACAGGAACAACAGCAGCAGTTTCTGCTTTGAACCCCTACAAGTTTTCTCTGAATTAACTTGAGTTTCAACCTTTATATATACAGTCTATGGTTTCAACCTAATGCCCTAATTTACTCATCTCTAAAATGTCAGTCCCATGCATTGTTTTTGTAAGCCATAAACCTCTTTGATAACATCAGAACACATGTTGTGACATAGAGGAATAATGAAATAGCACTGACTGAGTAAGCTATTCTTATGCTGCATCCCTATTACTCGCATTGCATGTTTTCATTGTTGTTTTATATGAGGCCAAATGAAAGAAGATGCACATCTTTGCATATAAAATTCATTTATCAGCATATTATCATCAGCTCCTAGTGTTGTATTTTGCAGCTGAATGTGTGTTGTTTGCACCTCTCAGTGGTAGATACAAAATTCTGATGTAATGCTTTAGCAAAAACAGGTGACGTAATGTTCACTGCAACACTCAACCAGATCAGCCTGCATGGATTTTATTCAATGCTATCAATACATGCACTGGATGTGTTTCATTTGTATATGCTTATAAAGGATATTGAATAAATAAAAATATTATATTATCCTTGCAAGCCCAGACATGTCCCTGTATATTTCCACAACACTGGGGTCTGCTATTCATCACCCTAGCCCCCCTTCTCCACCTCTTGTTTTTCTTTCTTCTCTGCTGGCATGTTACCAGGCAAGATACAGATCCGAAGCCGTGCCTCTCTTTTTGATTGGCTGGCTGGATGTAAATAGGCGTGGCCTAGCAGCCTGTATATAACCATTGTTGCGAGGATAAACCGCAGAGCTCGGCAGCTGGTCTTTGAATGAGGAGGTGTAGGGCATAGAAGCTACCAGATGGTTGTTTTTGCAGACAATAAGCCTTCAAATACCTTCCTAAAACATCGACAACGGACTTCAACCGCACCGTTGTTAAGTAACCTGTAAGTACTATGTCACCGTTGATTATTTTGTCAGCTTGGTTTCAAATCTAAACAGTTTAACAGTTGCTAGCTACCGTTAACAAAGGTCTGTCATTCTGTAAACTTGTCATTCAACCTTAACAATCACTGAAAACGCATGTTACTTGTGGGTTAAATTATCCTTTATTTAACTTTTGAGTTGTGTATTTTGTCTCAAGTTTGAGTGCTTATCTGTTGTCTTTGTCTCCTCACTAACAGCTGACCACAGAAGCAGCTGATACTGAATTCTGCAAAGATGCCTGCTCTCTCTTCACCCACTGATATCGGCAGCTCACCCCCGTCCCCAGTGGACAGCAGTCCTAGGAGGCTGTCCTGGGGCAAACTTGTGCAAAGATTGGCTGATTTCAGCACATCTGCCAACAACAGCAGTATTGAGTCTGGGTCCAACAATGGCAGCAGGAGTGATCTCTCAGAATCAGGTAAACAACAGCTGCAATTATTTCTTACAGTCATTCAAATTATCTCTATTCCCATTTTTTTTTTGTGTGTCATGTTCCCAATTCTTACCCCATTGTTGTTTGCCAACAGGGTCAGATGTATGCGGTGACCGGTCTCCTTGCAATGAAGACCTGTTTTATGATCCAATGGAGGAGACCATTCTGAAAGAAGTAGTGGAACTTATTGCAGGAAGCCTGAAAGAAGCCAAAGACTCTGACTGTGCCTTGAGGTGCTCCAAACTGCTGATCCCTGAGAAACTTCTGGAACACATCGGACAAGAGCTCCTTCACCTGGCAGCTAGTGAGCCCTGCGGCTTAAGAGGGGCTCTCATCGACCTTTGTGTGGAGCAAGAGGCCGTGTGTGAGAGTATGGCTCAGTTATCTGTGGACCCTTACCTTGTCCCCACCTTTCAGCTGACTCTGGTGTTGAGGCTTGAGTCAGGTGGGCTGTGGCCTAAGATCCAAGGACTTTTTAGCACAAAGTCTCCTTCCACTCCAGTAGTGAGACGAGCTATTAAACTTAGCACTGGTTTCCGGGTGATCAAGAAGAAACTTTATTGTTCTGAAGAGCTGCTCATTGAGGAATGTTAAGAAATATAAGGGACTGTCGATGTTTTATTATTTTAAAAACGCCCAGTTAAGCTTACAGAAGGGCCTTATTATTATAACTCCATGTTTATGATGCCTTCAGAAGGATGGACATTGACCAGATGTAGCCTATTGTTCTACTGTAAGGAAGTTTATGGTACCTGAAGCAGATTTTGCTTTTTAAACTACGATGTTTAACCATCGTATGTGGTTAAGAAAGTCATTTTGCGAGTATTAAAGTGCGTACCTCAGTTTCTATTGAAACGTACAATGGCAGCTAGCTATGATTAAAGTCATTGAAGACCATTGTGTTTTTTTCTTTTTATACATGCTAATTAATTGTAATGTACACCAAGTGATGAATTGTACACCAGGCAAATCATTAGGAACCCTAGTGACTGCTTGAATTCCAGAGTAAAGGCTTACCAGCACTTCATTGTGCAGTTTCTCTGCAATCTCAAATGTAACTTGATCTTGTATTTGTGTGGACCTGTCCTGCTTTCAACTTTATTTATTTGACATTCAAATACTCATAACATTGCACTGTTTTTGTACTTTCACGACTGCAAATAAATTATTTTTTTTAACAATTCTCTTTTCCTGTCTTTATGAAACTTATCAAAGCCTCCATTACATTTCATATGGCTGACTTTTATCCAAAGCGACTTACAATAAGTGCAAAAACCATATGTTCAAACTCTGAACATTATTATTTGGAAACTGAAAAGTCAATATAATGAATCTACTTAGGAGCAAACCTGCAATTGCCATGTATGTCTACTTTTACAGTGACAACATCAATCTTTGCTACCTGGCTTGTGCAAAAAGAGCAATAACAAGTATGAAATCCACTTGATAATATTTGTTCTAAAACAATAGATTGTTTTGCAGAACAGTCCTTTTTTGGCAGGCCTTCAGATAAAAGGATCACACTCTCAAACTTACAATAAGTGCAAAAACCATAGATGTTCAAACTCCGAACAACAAGGAAAGTGCAGATCTATTCACTTCAAGCAAGTCATACAAAGTCCTGGCGAACTAGTTACAAGGCCTAAACTAACAATTTAAAGGGCATCCATTAGCAATTTTAGATCCAGATTCAGGCTTCTATGGAAAATTGGGAGGTTTTATATAATGCAGTATAAATGACTATACCAGAATACTAAGATATCAGTTTAAGCAGGGCCGTCCCTGGCCAACTTGAGGCCCCACACAAAGTTACGCGGGGGGGGCAAGAGTGAAAAGGTGCATAAGCGCATAGGTGTGCCGCATTTGCGGCTCAGTTGAGGCTCCCTCCGCGAGGTGAGGCCCAAGGCCCACGCAGTCTGTGCGATCTACCTGTAGAGAGGGACGGCCCTGAGTTTAAGTGAGGGATAATGGTGTATGTTTCTTGATAAAGTTACATTTCTGGCAAGCCAAAAATAAAAAGCAGAGGGGCAACATCTACCAATAACAGCTGAGTACATATGCTCTGCGGTGATAGAATTTGACTCTGTATTTCCTGCGTTTCTCTCGTCTCCCCAAAATGTGTACGTGCACAGAGCCGTGTTTCCCGTTCCCAGTCCCCTCGATCCTCGAAGTGCATTTAGAGAAATTAGATGTCTTTCAACATGGCGCGCTGAAATCCATTTCCGGGTCACTACCGGAGGACCGAGGATTCGAGGAATATAAATGAGAGAAATGAGAAAGGCCCGTAGTCAGCGGCCCCGCAGAATTTACGAGCTGAATGTGCTGACTGAGCTTTAGTCTTTGTGTTTATTCTGCTCAGAGCGATGCATGACTTCCAACACGTTTTAAGCATTCATATTTATTTTCATCTGGGAGTAAAAACATTGTGGAAAAGTGAGCAAGATTTGCATTATTTTCTTAGTCTAATAAATAATACAAAGCATAAATAGCATAATATAAACAAAAGGTGTGATAAAAATTGCTTTTTCCAACAGTTGATGTTCATCAAGAGACATAATACTTAAAACCTGTCAAAGCCCCACTCTGTGGGTAGGCACATCTCTCATTCCCTTGGCTTTTATTGTGAAGTGCCATTAAGTTGAAGCATAACATTTTACCCATATGAAAGTTAAATAGGCAAAACATAAAAAGGGACATTTCCTTGTTATCTCTCGCACACACACTAACACACACGCACACACATAGACAAAGATGACAAATCTGAGGTGTTAAAGTGTCTGAAAAAGCTTGGACATGAGTGTATATTCATCAGAGGTTTCACATTATTCCTGCATAGTTTCAGAAATTGCATTTTAAGACAAAACAATAAACCCTCCTTCGTCCCTGCTCTGTAAAATAAAAGAGGAAGTGGTGTCTAATAAACTGTTACATAAATAACATCCCTACTGCACGACTATATGTAACCTCACTATGCTCTGGCTTCATACTGCATTCTTGCATAAACAATAAAGTGACCTCTGCTAACTTCATGGCTCATAACGGGGGCTTGGATGCTTCCCAAACCTCATTCTTGTCAGGATGACAAGCTATTTTAAGTTATTTGTTCCATTTCAAAACATTATATTTATAATATCTTTTAGATTCATAGACTACAATCCACACACGGCTTCAAACCAGTTTGTGTGGGGGGATTCGATGCAGATTGGTGCTGGTTTTTGTTGCTTGTCGAGTCATCATCAGTCTCCAGAAAGCCTCTATTTACAGCCAATCAACTTATGTGTTAATTCTGGAAACCTACAGTAGAGACAAGAAGAACAACAACAACTTACTATAATTAAACAAAACATGCAGGCAGTCGTTACAAATTGTGTTAATAAAGGAGAGAACATGTGAAAGGGCTTACTGTTGATGATTATAGCAGCATCAACCATGTAATGAAGCTGTGATCTCTGACAGCTTGGCGCAGCTCGGTGTGCGAGCCCTCTGTGCTTTTTGGTACAGATCGTTGTCTCCAAAATAGCGAGCTCTGTAAAGCATTCCTTCCTCTGCAGGAAACAACAAAAACAATTAATGAGGGGCAATATGTCTTTAATCATTTTCCCAGAACTGATTATGGCAGACACAACCTAAATAAATAAATCATTTGTTTTTATTGGCAAACATACTCTGTTGCTTCTCCTTCCAGCAATTGTTGCGAAGGTTGGAAATAAAATCATCCTCCACCGTCCGCTCTAAGTTCTTCAGATTCAGTCCAGTGATCTCCCTGGAGAAATGCTCCCCCACATAATATGGCACCTTCAGGCTCATCGTCAGCCTCTTCTGTGTGTAGCCTGCAGACCTGCGTGAAGACAGCACAAAGTGTGGAACAGATTAGACGACCGAACTCAGCACGCAAACATGACATGGCATGGTCTGTTGTTGTTAACATGAGTCATGGCTGATAACGGCTCACAGAAGTGCATCTAAAACACAAAGGCAGACAACATGGAGGGAGGCTGGACAAATGGAGCCGGCACACCTTTCAAAAGCAGAAGAAGACTGTGATTATTTGGAAGAATAAGAAACTGAAAAGTCGATATAATGGATCTGCTTAGAAGCAAAACACCAGCAAATGCCATGGATGTATAAGTACTTTTTCAGTGACATCATTCTTTGCTATCTGGCTTGTGCAAAAAGAGCAATAACATATAACAAGTATGAAATCGATGATGAAATTTGTTCTAAATCAATAGATTTTGTGCAGAACATCAGTTTGTTATTTAACATCCTTATTTGGCAGGCCTTCAGATAAAAGGATCACACTCACGGCCTGTAGCTGAGGCTGTAGGGGGGGCTGTTGACCATGATCTGACTGAGGGCGGACACAATAACCAGGATGAGGATGGGCATGACCTGCACGAACAGAGCGAAGCCCCCCTGCAATGAAAACATCTCAGTGTCAAAACCTCACAGATTTTAATATCTCTGAAAGACAGTTGAATATTGGTAAATGCATAAAAGTGAAATTACTAATAACTCAATGTCTTCTCATGCTGTTTAACAATAGCTTTACATTATGAGCTGTGATGATAAACCCGAACTCACCTCGCGCGGTCGCTCTCTTCTATCTCGCCTTTGGTTACGCATCCGCCCATTAGCGTACATGCTAGCACTGCCTAGATTAAAGCAGCACACGTAGCACTTAAAAAACACATCATGACAAGTGTTACAATCAAATATTCTTACAGCTTGGCATAAAAGCAGAAAGCAGTGGCACTAACTTGAGGGGTAACCTCCTCCGAAGAACATGTTGAAGAGGTCTTCAGGGGAAATATCCGCCTCAAAGTTTTCATTCTCTGGGCCGCTGCTTGAAGGATTTGTCTTCTCTTCGCCGCATTGATCGTACTGTAGTCTTTTGCTTGCATTACTCAGAACAGCATACGCATTCCCAATAGCTGTTGGAAATGAAATGAATTAAGACGTTTGTTTGAGCATCACAAAACAGGGTGAAAAGACACATTGTGTATCCATGTTTATAGCGTTTGATTAGGATTTCTGCATGACATGTATTTCATTACATTTTTTCATGTGGAACTATACCTTTTCCGTATGAATGAAAAGTCATGCTTGTCACCTTTAAAAGCCTCCGTAGCACCTGGAGCGTGATTCTTGTCTGGATGGAATTTCAAAGCAAGTTTTCTGTACGATCTTTTGAGTTCATCCTCTGAAGCGTCCGCCTGGACCCCGAGAATTTGATAGAAGTCTTTACATTGTTTTATCCTGTGTAGAGAGCACATGAGTCTCAGTGTAAGGTGCAGCATCAATGCTAACAATATATCAAACATGTCTTAAATAAAGTATTTAAAGGTCCCATGTCATGGCCCTTTCTACTGATCATAATTCCATTGTTGAGGTCTACTAGAATAGATTTACATTGTTCCAAAATCACATTGGTTTCTCACAGCATCTCTGTATAGTATGTGTGTATACTCTGTCCTAAACGGCTTGTTGGAGCTCCTGCCCCCCCCCTCCTCCCTGTGAGCCCAGTGTGCTCTGATTGGTCAGCTCGCCCACTCTGTTCTGATGAGTCCACCACCGTTACAGCGGAACATCAGTGATTATGTTTTACAATGGCGTTAGCATCCAGAAAATGACACCAGCAATGACAAACAGATGAGAATGCTGCGTGGGGTCTGGGTGCCGTGTTGGCGGGACGTTGCGCGGCTCGCTGCTGCGAGGAGCGGACAGTGTGAGCTGGGTTCATTTCCTGGTTGCTGCGTGGGGTCTGCGAGACAGCGAGACAACGTGAAACTCAGCCTGAACTCAGCCTGAGCACACACACACACACACACACACACACACACACACACACACACACACACACACACACTTGTAGCCTGGCTGTGAGTTTGTGTGTGTGCTCAGGTTGAGTTCAGGCTGAGAAATCCACGAAGCTGCGGCTGAGAAAAGATAAGGCTGAGTGAGTGTGTGTGTGAGGAAGTCCGTAGCCGTTACGTCACTTAGCCCCTTACGTCACTACGACCCAGGAAGAAAAAAATGGAAAAATAAAAATCTTCAACGAGGCGTTCTGGGGCAGCTTAGACAGGTCTTTTCTGTGTTAGAGTTGTACTCGCTACAGCAGGGGTGTCAAACTCAAGGCCCGCGGGCCAAATCCGGCCCATGACCTCCTTTGATGTGGCCCACAAGAGCTTGCAAACAATATAGTATAACAATTAGTGTAATTGTTGAATATTTGCTTTAAACTATTTGCCCTAGACTTCTGCTTTCAGACGTAATTATTTATGAAGTTATTACCACAACTGATAATAATCCAATGCAGAGCCAATAATGTAATGTAATACATTATTTAATATATGATATATTTATATATGTAGATTTATATAGTCTTAATGTGACAACCGGCCCTTTGAGTGCAACCATAATTCTGATGTGGCCCACAATGAAATTGAGTTTGACACCGCTGCGCTACAGGGTGCACTTTGAGGGTTTGTGACTTTGCAGACCGTTTACATGCATAAAAAGCTACATGACACACAAGGGGACGGGTAATAACCGGAAAAGCATGACATGGGATCTTTAAATAAATACCAGATGTACATGATTATCCGTCTTACCTCCTCACAGAATCCAACTGGTCTGCTGTGTAGGATTTTTCTGAGGGCTTTGCTTCAGGTCTGGTATCGTCACTGTTTGGTTGCCGCTGTCGAGGACCTGATTGTCCATTAAAGTCTGAGTGACCACCTCTAGGTGTGAAGCCATTCTTTGCTATCATCTCCAGCAGTACTAGAAGGGATTCAAGAACAGGAAATGTTAAAAGATATTCAGACAAGAACTCAACATGGGAGCTGAAAAGGCACAGCTGAAGGCCAACACTTGAAGTCAACATTTTCCAAATAACATACGCTGTAATACAAGGCGTGTTTGTTGGATTGATTTTCAGGTTACTAGAACAGTTTTATATTGCAAGAGCCTTAATACAATATGGTCAGTAGTGGACCCTTTTAGAAACGTACCAATATCTATGTTTTTATTATCTATTGGAGCGACTACTGATTATTTCAATTATCAGTTTATCTGCCTATTACATTCTAAATTCATTTTTTGGTGTATAAAATGTCAGAAAATAATGCAAAAAGTCCATCCTAGTTTATCAAGTTCAAGGTGATGTCTTGTCTTCTTTTGTCAACTCAAACACAAAGATATTCAGTATAAAATGGTATAAAAATGAGAAAAGCATGAATTCTCCATGTTTAAGAAACAAAATCCTGCGACTTTGCATGAAATATTACTTTAACAATTAATGGATTACTAAAATAGATGGCGACTATTTTTCTGTCATTCCACTAATCAGTTTGAATAGTTTAACTCTATTATCCGTTTCAATTTGAGATTTGAAAAGCAATAGGACAACATTCTCATTAAAATTGCAAAGGATTTCAATCATATTTCATGTCATATTCATTAAAAAACTCAAATATTACATTATCTTTGACCAAATGTCTACATATAGAAACAAACATTTATGTGACAGTCATAACCTGAGAATTAACAGTGGTGCAGCATTTAAGGTCCCCAAGAAACGCCTTGGAGCTATTTTATAACATAATTTACATATTGGTGTGACGATTGAATAGGGTATGTTATAGACACAGGAAATATGTCAGACAGTAAAAGAAGAAGAAGAAGAAAGCTCACTAAAAGCTGTCATATAAACTCAGTGGTACACTGTAATATAACTCATAAGCCAAATCTCCCAGACTTATATCCAATTCTCTCATACACCTACATGTATCAAAACATTTTTTAAACACACTGCTTGACCATTTTGATCAGCCGTACATGGGATACACTAAACCTGTACTCTAACCCAAGTTGTTTGCGGGTAATTAACATGTATTAAGGATTTACTGCAATTGTTGTGTGTTTAGTTGAGGGCTGAGTATTTGGCCCAATGCATGTCATGTTCAGGCCTATCACTGTGCTGTTTCATATTAGCTATTTCTTGTATGTGAGTATTATGGTATGTCTTAGTTGCTGGAATGGCTGGGTCTATGGCATAATGTATATGTTAACCATTAACAGTGAGTGATAATATAAAACTGGCTTAAACCAATCCCAGACTTCCTAAGATATCTAATAAAAAGCAACTGAAAACAAATGACACTTAGCATATCTGTTACATGGTGAGCAGGTGTACATAATATTCCATAACATATAATAGCTAGAGTAAGCGTTTGCGACATTATAACAAAGTAAAGCAGCTAGCTCGTTAGCTACCAAAGGCCCAGCTGCAGCAGACCCGGGAAGCAGGTGATGCTGCAGGTGATGATGCTGCGGTCCTCCCCGGCTGAAGCGCCCTTTACATCGGCCATCTTAAAAACTCACCCTTCGCTTTCTCTGTCGGGAAGAGTCTCTGTGCCTTCTCCAGGAACCTCTGCGCCTTCTCCGGCTGCTCGTTGCTTAACGCCGCAGTTGCAATGTCGATGCAGCGCTCCGCTTCGTCCCTGTTTACCTCCATTGCAGCAGCAGCAGCAGCAGCAGCAGCGAGCTAACTGGACCTGAAGTAAATACAGGCGCCTGCTGATGGCGTCATGAGGATGCTGCAAATTGATCATTAAGCTTTTTTAATATATATGTTTTGTATTGATTGAAAATTATACATTAAGGCATATTAACCACAAGAACAATGAAATAACACAGCATAATTACAGGCTTTAACAAATAATAGGCCTATAAAAACAAGAAAACAGTTTGGTAAAATTAGAAAGATTATTTATTCTACCATGCAGATCAGTTACTTTCCTGGCATTACAGTAAAGTGCTACCAAATCACTTAAAAATCAAGTATACACTTCTACTACTACCAAATAACATTCATGAATTTTGTTTATGATTTTTATTTTGTGGAAATATTCAATTAGTCCACTGTTATATATAGCCACCACTGAGTTGTGCCCAACATCACTTCACACATAAATGGTCTCATGCTGGTTACACTTACATACTGCTTATGTAGAAATATGCTTTTGGATGATTTTGGTGAATATTTGTTGTGCAAAAATGTAAAAAAATACACTAACATTAGTGTAGTGCAATAGTTTATGAGTGCTACACAAAATCCCTTGACACATTAATGCCATGGTCTACTGTTGTTACTACACAGACGAGGTAGGAAAATAATCCTTCTGCATATATATTTTTGGATCATATTAAATATTAAACGGTCTATAAAAACACGTCGTTTGTGATTTGAGAATGTTTTTGAAGTTAAATGTCAAACATATTTCTAACTTTATCTTCGTGTGCTGCATGATTTCTCCACTAGATGGAGGCTATCTGATAACTTTGAATTTCTACATTACTGTTTAATGTAGGTCATGATAATAAAAAATCACGGATTTGTCAACCCATTTTGAATATGGATCCACTGCTCCACTGGACCATCTCCTACATTCAAATTCGCTAATCTAAATCTGATATTCCTAAACTTATGTTATTATATTGTTGGCACTCATAGTGAGTTGAGCTACTCTAACGTGTTGTTTTCAACGAATGTTTGGGTGTTTTACTGGCTTTGATATGGATTAACTTGCATGTTTTTACTAGTTTCCATATGTGTTTCATTATGAGATGGAGTTGATGGCGTGCCAGAACAAGCAGCCCGTATTTGCCTGCGTGGGTGGGCGGGGGTCCTCTGCCGATTGGTGTACATAAACTTGTTTTTAACAACTCGTAATTCTGCTCGTATCACACCGGTACCTTGTCCATTTCGTTAATCCACGCGTGAATGGAAATATGTGTGCAGTTAATTCAATACAGGTCTAGACAGTAGCTGCAGCTCTCCATATGAGGTACATCTGGCAAGAGAATGAATAAAAGGTGAACAGCAGATGATCAGTCAGCCAATCAGAATCCGAGTTTGAGGCGGCATCCGAGCGCTGATTGGCCAGTCGCACCTCGAACTCCAGCTCTTATTGATTCGTTTGCTGCGGAGCTAACGTTCACTCTCCCTTTCTGGGTTACTGTAGTTATATCAGCTACATCTCCCAAACACAACCGCAGCCTCTTTTTCTACTCTTCTTCTTCTATTTTGGTGAGTAATTTACCTTCCTTTTATTTGTTCTACAGGTGTAATTGTTGTGTTACGCAACGCAGCAAATGTCGTCTTCCAGTGAAAAGTCAGCAGCTGCAGCAGCATCAACGTTACATGACCATCCTCTTCCTCACCAGCGGCGCCTGCTAGCCTACCGGGGCTAACGAACGACAGATTAAATAACATAATTTGCCGTTGGCTCATCACAAAAACACGGAATTTACGAATTTGTCCCATTTATTTTTGTACCGCTCAGAACAACACCAAAACGCAGACACAATGACGGAGGCGGAGGCGTTGGAGAAGAAACAGCAGCAGCACAAGGCGAGCAACGGAAATGTTCTTCCAGAGGCCCCCAGAGAAGACATGTTTGATCACACATACAAAGAGAAAGAAGGCCCCAAACCTCCCTCGGTCATCGTATGGAAAAATGTCTTTATGATGACTCTGTTGCATATAGGAGCCGTGTACGGCATGTGCCTCGTCCCCTCAGCATCTACTTTGACCTTGCTTTGGTGTGAGTAAAACAATCTACCTGTTACATGATTTCTGCGCAGGCTGAGTGTTGAAAGTGACTTTTTATTTTATTTTCCGGTTAGTAGGGTACATAGTGTACACAGGCCCACAAATGTTATGTCACCGCTAGTGCATGCAATAAGGTGGCTCAGGCTGGATAGATCTGTGCACGCTCCTCCCAGTAGCCTGCATGTAGTGGGATTATAGATCAAGGCATATATCACCAGAGATTTTATGTCACAGCATGTCTTTTTGAAGCTGCAGATTGTAATGCAGGTGCTTGTCAGGAACATAGACCAATTGACAGACAAACTATGACGTTTTCGTTAAGTAAGGGTCGGGAGCATCCTTGAGTTGATTTCTTAAATAATTGTGAGGCATCTAAATCAAGTGAATTCAAGACAAATCTACAGACTCAAATAGACAAAGTCAGGCAAAATATACTTCTGAATGTTTTTATGCCGTTTGCTTCACAACAGTCAGCTCAACTGTCCAGACAATATGTGTCACTGTCTCACCTCAAGTCAAAGTACAGAAAGTACAAATCAATTGTACTCAAGCCAACTGCATGCTGCTTTTATAGCTTGAAACATTGTATCAAATGCTTCGCTTGTGTGTGTGTGTTCTGACTAATCAAAACCACAGAGGCAGCATTTCCAGTCTTAGAGACATGCAATCATCAAATGGTTTTATCCACCCAGTCATCATCTGATGTGATGTGATTGCATCCCCAGAGAGTGGCGCTGGCACATGCTCACTTCATGGTTATCCAAGCTCTTATACAACTAGAAAAAACCCGTTACGGCAAGGGCACTTTTATATGATCCTCAGGAAAACCAATGAGATCATTTCAATTCAATTCAAAACCTTTATTTATACAGATAAAACCCATTGAGATCATAGACCTCTTTTACAATGGTGACCTGCTTCAATTAGTTCCAAACATTAATACAAACATGACAGAAAACAAAGGACATTATATGATACTACAGTTTGTATACTAGTAGCATTTACAGACACCAATATTTTCTAATTGTATAGCGTCTATCCTAGCTTAGTATTGTGAAGATCAACTTTGCACACATTCACAAGTATGCTGCCTTTTTTTAAAGAGAAAATGCCTTACAGTGAGGGTGGTATGATTATTTCAGCTTCTTCTCTGTTAAAGGGGATTATCTCCTCTGCTGTTGCAATGATATAACAATGAAACATAGGTGACTCACTCACAATATAACACTTGTTGCAGGGTCATCCTACTACAGTAGCTTTGAATAGAAAATAGATGATGCGCTGACATAACATTAAAATGAATTAGTAGTACTCATTTGTTTTTGCATTTCTCCCCACAGCCCTATTTTGTTTTGTGATAAGTGCTTTAGGGGTTACTGCAGGAGCTCATCGCCTCTGGAGTCACAGATCCTACAAGGCCTCATTACCTCTAAAGATCTTTCTTGGTGTTGCGAACTCAATGGCATTTCAGGTACCTACATCTAAAAGATCTGCACAAACACAAGCAAGCACACACTTAGCATTGTGATAATAGCAGTTTTCACTACTGCCTAAGTGCCAGGTGTTGTCCACAGTGTATGTCATCTCTGTGTTTACTTGAACCCGCAGAATGATATCTATGAGTGGGCTCGAGACCACAGGGTTCACCACAAATATTCCGAGACGGATGCTGACCCTCACAACGCCGTCCGGGGGTTCTTCTTCTCTCACATTGGCTGGCTGATGGTCCGCAAACACCCTGATGTCATCGAGAAGGGACGCAAGCTGGAAGTCCATGACCTGTTGGCCGACAAAGTTGTAATGTTTCAAAAGAAGTAAGTAGCTTCTGTCAATTATTGATTTTTGTCATCAAAAATAAGTCACCTTACTCATCTGGAAGGCAGTGGGGAAAGAAAACACACAGTATTGTGTTTGGGAAATCAAATGCAGAGCAAACAAATCACAATTAAACTCAACTACAATGTGCCCACCTCTGCTGCAGATATGTGTCTATGTCTGTAGTTATTCTGGTTTAACTCGTTTAATTACCCACATGTCTTTCGCGCACATTGAGATTGACTCAAGGTTGGCCTCAATGCAAACTGTCATTTTGAGTAAAAGTATTATTTGAACAGTCTCACGTCTGAAAGGAAGAACATTTGTGTGTTTAATGTCTATGGTGTGCTATGTAAACAACTCCATTCATTCTGCTCTCCGCCCACTCTCAAATCTGCTCAACAGGTATTACAAGGCTTCTGTGCTGCTCATGTGCTTCTTCGTCCCCATGTTTGTGCCTTGGTACCTGTGGGGGGAGTCTCTGTGGGTGGCCTACTTCGTCCCCGCTCTTCTGAGGTACACCTTGGTCCTGAACGCCACCTGGCTGGTGAACAGCGCGGCTCACATGTGGGGAAACAGGCCCTATGATCACCACATCAACCCCAGGGAGAACAAGTTTGTTGCGTTCAGTGCCCTAGGTATGTATTACGCATGAACCTGTACTCTGTGACAAAAGAAAACATAACTCAAGAACAAGACAGGAAATTAGGTTGGACTCATGATTTATAATAATACTTCACTAGTTTGTAATTTACACTTTGATGTATTGTCACCGTAAATTACACTATTGCATTTAGAGGTAATGTATGCTCTTGTTACCGATACACACCTGTCAGTCAGAGTCACTGGTCTAACAGTAATGGCATCTTTAAAGTCCCTTTTTAAAAAAAATTATGGAATGATGTGAAGAATGCACAAGGAAGTCTGACTGCACTTAGATTGGGCTAAAGTTATCCTTCTAGCTAACAAAACAACACAACTCCTTCAACATCATTCAGTAGTAGCTTTATTTAGTTTTGTTTATTCACCACTGTTTCCTTTACCTTACAGGTGAGGGATTCCACAACTACCACCACACGTTCCCCTTTGACTATGCAACCAGTGAGTTTGGCATCAAATGGAACATTACCACTGGTTTCATCAACACCATGTGCTTCTTGGGCCTGGCCAAAGACCGCAAGAGGGTGTCCCACGAAGTGGTGGCGTCCCGGATACAGCGCACCGGAGACGGAAGCCCCCGGAGTGGCTAGGATCGTCGAGTCAGCTTCGAAGGCAGAACAACCGAAAAGAAGAAGAAGAAGAAGAAGAAGAAGAAGAAGAAGCTTCACAGTCCTTTGACAGCTATACATTTCTCATCCTTTGAGGATAATAGGTCATCGTCATGAGGGCCCTGACCAGATTTTGCTTGTTTTTGTGGTTTTTGTAGCTGTAACTTAACAAATTGTTCAAGATGGATAAAAAAAAAAAACACCTTTCGCTAAGCTCTTGGCCTTGGTTTCTATTGTTCAGTCAGACCAAGGTCTTGCAAAGATGTTTTAGATTTGAAGTAGATGCATTTTCAACTTCATTCTCTGCTGTTTTCGCCACTTTGGTGTGCATCCTTCATTCAAGATCAGTCATGTAGCCGATAATTTTTATGTAAGTATTACTCAAATATTAATCAAAAATAGACAAGACGTGGAGCACTGAAAATATGGAGTTACAATGTTTTAACTGATAAGATACTGATTGGAGGCTGTTTTCTGTACTGCAGTGTACAGCCAGTTTTTACCGTTCTGATATACAGTTAGCTAACTTTTTGAGCGCTTTAAAGATCTGGAAAGAAATAGGGATGAGATTTTGAACCATATTTGCTAAAAAGCAGCTTGCTTTAATGAAATATGGCACATGATGGAAGAGTGACGGCCCGTCTACACTACAGGCATCGAAAAATGCTTTCAACGCTTCGCCCATTCACTTGAATGGGGTGACGTAGCAAATTTTGAATCTTCGCCGAACTGCATTGTGGGGAGCGGAGCATGGCTTTGCAAGCATCGTGAGCATCAAAAGTTGAGCAATGTTCAACTTTTGATGCTCCCGATGCTTTCGAAGCTGGCATCAGCCAATCAAATCCCGTTTATGCAAATCCCGCCAGTACAAGCGCTAGCCAATCAAACCGCGTGCAAGCTGGGAGAGCCAGACCGCAGTTAATTTCCTCATATTCCAAACGAGAAATTACGGTAGCAAATCACCCGGTTCTTTACGACCAGACTATTTACCGGGATACAAACCGGAGGAACCATGCATGGAGGGAGACAGTGGGTGAAACTGGTAAGTTTTCGCCTGTTTGGGGAGTTTATATCCAGTTTACTTCGTTTTAACATTGCTATTGCTTTGTATGTCGCGTTGCTCGCAAAAAATCGCCAAGCTTCAGACACGCCCAGCTTCAAGATTTTTTTGATGCCTGTAGTGTAGACGGGCCGTGAGGGAACCCAGACCTTCTTATTATAACTATACTGACAGCAGAGTCATGCAGTGAGTAACCTGGTTTTCTAATGCAGAAAACCAAACCAAATATGTGGAAAGTCAAAGATTAAAATGTACTGTATTTAGTCTGTACAGTAATTGGATCGAGAAAGGCAATATAAGTGAGACATTTATCATTATATTAAAACTGCCATTGAATCGTAAATGTACTTAGAACCATGCTATGTTTAAGCAACTTTTTGTGTTTTTTTAATGAATATATCATAGTGCCAATTGTTACTTATAACAATCTCAACGGTCCAATAGAGCACACCTGAGTCGATATTGCTTCTTCACTCAACATCATTGTGGAAGTTTTGTAAAATTGTGGCATCAGTGGCTTTGCTTCCTCTTTTTATCCAACACGCCCCTATTTTGGCCAGAAACATCTGCAGCAGCGATCTCATTGGTCGATGTAGCAGCCAGCCTACATGTGACAGTTCTGGTGTTACAAAACAACATGCCACCCATGCATGATAATATACTGTAGTAGGTGTTGTGGTAAGGTGTTTTATCAGTGACTGTAATGGCAGAGCTTTGTCTATTTTTGTAACGTACTGTGGAGCTGCACCGCTTTTTGGATCATCAGAACTGTTGCCGTGGTGATTTCTGAGACGGGGTCTGGTTTCCCTTTGATGTCCTACAAAGCTAATAGTCATTGCAAAATTTCTGATGCATTGATGTTAATGCTCATTTTCAATTCTGGTGTGCGGAATGCTTTTCTTACCTTTTTTTATTTATTTAGTTATTTTTCCCTTTATTGGCTAAATTTTGTTTAAAAAAATGTTCTAACTTGAACCTGTTTAATGCACTCCAAGATTTGGCAGGAAAATATATCAAATGTATCCCTAAGAGTCAGGAAACAACCTAATGCCTTATGACTTGCATCCATTCCTGATCTTCTTCACGTCCCGTCAGTGAAGACAAAAAGGCTCAAAACAAATCTAACAGAGGTCCATGTTTACAGGCTGAAGCCCCCGATGGAACGTTGTTTTTATTCTGAAAACACATTTACGTTAGGGTAGAAGGGTAGAATGACAACATCAAAGTGCTGTAAACGCAAATAGAGGTTTAGATTAGAAGATACAATTTCTAACGCCCAGTGCAAATGTTCAATCATTTGATTTAACTTGCAACAAATGGGCCCTGATGTGCCAACTTCATCCAACCCGTGACGGCATCGCTGTAAACGGAGGTGCTCCTGTCACGAGGGATATTAAAGCATCATCAGAGCACTTAACAAAACCCGACAATATCACAGCCATGCCAACAACTCCTGCTGCCCAGAAGGTTCAAAAGGTTGTCAGTCTGAATGATAATGTCACATTTCAACTGTATTCTATTCTGAAATAAAAGTTCACGATATTTTCAATACACGTAATTCCATTAACAGTTGTTGGTCTTCTTTTTTTTCTCGTTATTGTCTTTCTGATATGAATCAGCATAACCATTGTTGAATTAGTATACCTGTAAAGCTACTTTTTCATATGATTATTTAAAACATTTGAAGAATACTTTGGAAACAGCTCTTATAAAACAGAAAACCATATATATAATAATAAGAGGTGTGTCCTATTTGCAGTGGCGGTTCTAGACCAATTTGACTGGGGGGACCAGTTCTTTTCTGAGGGGGGCACAATAAATGCAGGACGAAAAAGAGAACTAGACAGTATGAAGTAATTGCGCATAAGAAAACAATGCAATACAGTTATTGGTATTTGTTTCAGTAAACTTATTTATTTCAGATAGATCTTATAGTTATTACTGTTAGCTTCAGCTTAAGTTATAGTGCAATGTTTGCACTAACACCATATTTATATAAAAATAAAGGCAATGAACAGTTACATCTCTACTTTACATAAAGGTGTCTGCACAATCTCACATTACAGCAACACAATCCTGCGGTTTTTCGCAAACCGAGTACCAGAAAATATACATTTAAAAAAACAGGGGGGGTCAGAGGTCAGTGTTAGGGGGGCACTGGCCCCCCCTGCCCCCCCTAGAACCGCCCCTGCCTATTTGTCCAGTGGAGTGATACAATGCTCCATTGATTTGGAAGTTAGAGCAGGAACACATTTGCATTTGTTTTGGAATGTAACAAACTAAAATATAAACACATTCCCTCCCAGTCTACACAGCCTGAAATTAAAGATGTAAATAACACTAGTACACAACAGGCTTATCTATCTTACATTTTGTGCACAAGTTAGTTCAAATCCATGTTATTGAGCACAGGCATATCAATCCACCAATTAACCAGCATGCTATTGCACAAAATACATGTATTAAGCACTCTCATCTATGGATTTTTTGGACCTTTCCCCTCTCTGACCTCTCGAGGTTCTATTAGAGGGTAACAGGTTGCAGAGAAGCCTATTCCGGCCGGGGAGTGTTTAGACCGTATTCACAGCGTACCTCCTTACCTCTCACCAATTCCAATTCAGGTTCCAGTGGGGACCTTTCTCCCTGTGTGTGCCTCTCCACCTCTGTTTCTTACTTCTTACTTGCTACCCTTTTCCCTCAACCTATCCTAAGGGAATGCACGTAGATAGGTTGTGCCTCTCCACCTCTGTTCCCTACTTCTTACCTACTACTCTTTTCCCTCAACCTATCCTAAGGGAGTGCATTACATTACATGTCATTTGTTAGATGCTTTTATCCAAAGCGATTTACATAGGCCTACATTCAATACTGTGGACAATCCCCACAGGAACAATATGGGGTGAAGTAGTGTCTTGCCCAGGGACACAACGACATGCTGACTGCAGTGGGACTCGAACTTGCTACCCCCTAATTTCGAAGTCCAGCACTCTATCCACTGAGCCACAGCCGCCCCAGTGCATGTACGTAGATACGTTGTGCCTCTCCACCTCTGTTCCTTACTTCTTACTTGCTACCCTTTTCCCTCAACCTATGCTAAGGGGGTGCATGTACGTAGACACGTTAGTTTAGCTGCTATAGGCTTGGACTGTCGGGGGACACCTTACTTCTTCCTTCTGTCTGTCTGTACCTGTGTACTCTCATGTTCCGATTAACCCAGCCTCCCCCAAATGTATTTTTTGTGTCTATATCTACGCCGGGATCCTGAGTCGAGGCTGATCCTGTTGCTGCGGTCCTGTGTCCTGGATCCTCTATCCTGAGTTCCGGATTTGAGTCCTGGACTTCGAGTCGTGGCTGAACCTGTCTCTGCGGTCCTGCCTGACTCTCATCATACTTCCCTGATGGCTCCCACAGGATTGTTGACATCCTCGTGGATTCATCTTCTTATTATAAACACATGCATTTCCAAACATTTGGTCTACCTATGCTGTAAAATGTATTATCTCTTCGATTTACACACGGCATCTATTGCACGTCTGTCCGTCCTGGGAGAGGGATCCCTCCTCTGTTGCTCTCCCTGAGGTTTCTCCCATTTTTTCCCTTTAAACTGTGGGTTTTCTCTGGAAGTTTTTCCTTGTACGATGTGAGGGTCAAAGGACAGAGGGTGTCGTATTTTCATACGGATATTCTGTACAAACTGTGAAGACCACTGAGACAAATGTAACATTTGTGATATTGGGCTATATAAATAAACATTGATTGATTGATTGATTGATAGGGGGATACGTTTACTTTTAATACTTTAAGTACAATTTGACAGTGACTCCTTAGGACTTGTACCTGTAGCAGGATAGGTTTACATTGCTGTATAACTACTTAACTTAAATAATGGATCTAATTACTTTTTCAACACGTGAAGGGTGCAGATGATAGCTGTATCCATTCACTGTTGAATCTATAAAATGTCAGAAACGAGGTAAAACAAAACGAACCAAAGCAGTGCAAAACAAGATAATCAAGTAACAAATATATAACTGAAAGAAAATCCTCTATTTTGAGAGTGTAGGGCTTTTTTTGCTTTATAATTGACCTACATTTTCACCTCCTTATTTAAATGACCGATTGTTTCAGCATTGGGGAACTTTGCTTAACAAAAATGACATTTTGTAACCTCCACAAACCCAACACAAGCAAACAGACTGAGATAGTCTGATGTAATACAAACTGGCCTCTGGTCAGCACACTGGTCCTACATTCCTCTCTGCCCTGTGCAAACCATTTCACACATCTGCTGAGGGCTTTATTTATCTACAGGAAAAAGCAGAGGACTGCAGTATTAAAAAGTTTGGGTATATTTGACTTTCACACTTCCATCAGACGCAAACCGGAAGTGTTGAGTAGTTAGTGGTAGGAACAAAACATTCCCAAGTGAATAATAGGCAGGAAATAACAGAGGCCTTCCTTTCAATCCGCTCCATCCTTTTGTACTTGACTAACTTCAGCATTTTACCAACACAATGGAAAAAATACTCCTTACTCTCCACTTTTACAAAAACAACCCTATAATATATAAATGTATGGCATTGACCCCAGTGGAGTAAAATAACTAAATGCATTTATTTTAGCACTGTACTTCAGTACAATTATATGGTACTTTACTTGAGTATTTTAATTTGTTGCTACTTTGTACTTCTACTTCACTACAATTCAGGGTTACATTGTGTACTTTTACTCCACTTCATTTATGTTATACCTTTAGTTAGTTTACACATTTGGATTAATGATGTAAGATATAATCAGCACTTAAATAGCACTTTAATTACACCTGGAGTAAATTCACAAGCTACCCTGCAGCATACACAGAAAAAACTAGCTGCACCTTTACCAGCTTAGATAAACACATTAATGTCTTAATAATTATAATCAAAACATATAATAAATATTATTCTGAAATGGAACAATATGCATAATGAGTACTTTTACTTTTGGTACTTTAAGTTTATTATGATGCTAATACTTTTGTACTTTTACTTGAGTAACATTTTGAATGCAGGACTTTCAAGTACATTTTTATTTGTGTTGGAAACAACCTTTCTGATTTTAATTGAATTGTAGCTGGATAATGAAGTAGGTCAAAAATCCAATGGGGGTATGTGTTGGCAGCTGTACTAGGTCAGGGTAAGTATACACTCAGCACATTGAAGCCTTATTTGCCTCCTGAGGCCACAGCGTCCAATAAAGGAAGCGCAGAGCTTGACTCAGGGCGCCGCGGCGGAGTGGTGTGATGTGCGGGGAAGTCGCATTAATGAAATATCACCCCAGACGGACATGACGGTGAGGTTACTCCCGTTCAAACCCCCAAAATATTTAAAGCCACGAAGCTCACGCGAGCGCAAAGCGTCTGACAATGGGCGGCCAATCAGCAGCGAGGACCTGGCTCAGAATGATGCTCATTGGCCAATGGCGGGAAGGGCGCATGCACCACCTGTGCTGGCTTGTAGAATGTCATATGATATAAAATCCTCAACAGTGAACTAAATGAATGAGTAGTAACACACCCCTCTGAAGTAAGAGCATATTGTGGTGCATTTCAGTGCGTTTGGTGAGAATGGGAACATGTATTTTCAGCTGAAGTTGCTTACCTGTTGGTTTGGATGCAGAAACATCTACTAAGTGCTGGTAGTACTCATGGTAGTACTAGTAAGTAAGCCTACCATCCATGTTGCAGTGGTGAAGCAGGAAATAAATAAAAATGCATTGCTGCTTATTAAACAGAGAGCCATCTACCGTTCAAATATGGACATTGCAGGATATCAACAAAAACAACAATACTGAAATGTTAAAATGTGGATTCTTGCATTAAAGTCACTAAAGCAAAAATGAACAACAAAAGAAGTGTTCTTATTTCGAATTATATTACTTTTGAATGTAATAAGTCCATATTTTAAATAATTAGTACACTGTTTGGCAGTTTAATCCATAACAATTGTTCATATTATTTTTGTATTCATTATGTTTTGTGTGTAACATCTCAAGAAACTAAAGCTTTCAAATACATGTATGTTTATTCACTTTATTTTCCTTATCTTGTATATGTCCAACATTATATTTGTTATTGACTAACGATGAATTCATAAAACATTATTTTCTCAACCTCTGGTAAATGGATATTATCATGTTTGAAGAAATCAATCTGAAAACCTTTGAAGTGAAGTTTTATTTGAAAAAGATACCGACATGAGTAAAGTAAGCAACATGGATTGTATAAATATCTGTGCAACCAAAATGAGCACAGAGGCACTTTACTGCCTTCTGCTGCCATGATACACCAAACTATCCAGCTTTACGTCCAGCTACAATCCTTAAAATATCATGTTATAACCGTTAGTTCATTGTTGGTATAATCGTATGATCTAATCAACAACTACGAACAAAAGGATAAGACTTAGCCTGGGTAAAAAGAGGAGTAAAAGCATCTATAACAGAGGGTGAAGCACCTATGTTAATTCATATGCAGTTCGACATAAATTAATGTAATTCTAGTTTATGAGCTGCTATGTAAACTAAGCACACAGAAGAAATTATATAGAGAATCAATCTTTCACACAAGCTATCAGAAATAACAGTGCTAAAAGGGCCTGGTTGACACAAACAAAATGGAGATAAACACAAAATAAAAAAGCAACTTGACAATCACCATATGGCAGTCTGCTGCAGTGCTTTGGCCAAAAACAGCCCATCATGGCACAATCAACCGGACACAATCAGTTACAGCAGGTGAAGAGAACAATCAGTATTTAAGTTACAGCGTTTCCTTGATGCTTGTTGTTAATTGACCCGGTAAAAAGAATATCGGTGTGTTTTCTCCCTTGTACATACTACACCGACAGGATAGATGTGAGTGCAGCCCACATTTATTCCTGGAGCACTGCATGTATCCTATCAGAAATGATTCAATGAGAAATATGCACGTAGTGTAATGTGGATTATGAAAATGCAACTACTTGTACAAACACCGCCTTGATTCAAACTTTGTATATTACATCAACTTTTGAATTTACACAGAATCACAACTTTCAGAATACATTCATTTTTGATCGTAAAATTACCACAGCAACATCGACAAATCTCTACAAAAATCCACCTCGCCGCCCAAATCAGCCTTCAGGAAGGAATATGTATGGAGTGATGAAGACCACGATCTGCAATATCATCAGTAAGTATTATTCTCATTATCAAAGCAGGTCATAAAGAAATAAATACATATATAACAATATGGTAACACTGAAGTCTGGTTGGTGCCCCCCCACCTCCAGGGTTTAGACGCCCAGCTTGTTGGCGATGGTCATGAGCACTTTGAGGATGGGCATGAAGGCGGAGATCTCGCTGAAGTTGCTGCTGCTGACCACCTGGGTGTGGACCTCCAGGCCCCGCTGGTAGTTCTGGCTCGCCACGCAGCGGCTGATCTCGTGGAGCCCGTTCAGGATGCTGTGAGAGAGCTAAGAGACAACAAATATTACATGTTACTATGTGGCATCCTAGGTTCATGAAATGTCAGGAAATTGTACAAATATGCTCATAATAAGGTCTGAGTGTTCATGTAGGCATCTTTAAATGGCTTACTTGTCCAGAACTTGAGTTTGTTTTGCCTTTTTGATGAATACACTTTAAATGAAATAATTAAAAGATTATCAAGATGGTTAGTTCAGCAGAAAATCTTTTGTCCGTTAAGGAGTGTGCTAGAGAGTAGTTCACATTATTACTCAGAAATAGAAATCAATATTATTTTACAGATGTCTGACAACTCTTAAGCATTTTTTTTGCAAGTAAATTGGTTAGCAGAGGTGTTTCAAACTGGTAAAGAACTAGTGTTTTTTTCACACACATCAGCACCTGATTGTGACTCACTGGGATGTTTGTTTGACTTTTTGCGACTTGTAAAAAGTCCCCTCGCATTGCAATCGGATGTTCTGGTTGATATCTACATAGCAAACATACAATGTGGTCAATTGCTGCCTTTTACTGTGTCACTGCTGATGCATCGTGACTATAAATGTACAAAAAGGTTTTATGGTTTCTTCTGTCATTAGTCGACCATCCTTCATTTTGCATCCATTAAAAATACGGCAGGAACTCTGAAATATTAATAGTGATTCATTGATTTACAATAATGGATCAAAGACAATATCCATCATACATTTTTTTTACTGCACAGGAGTATCATATCCTTCTAAGGGGTGGCTTTTAGCGACAACCAACAGCTCTTGTCATGAGATTTTAATAAACTGTTTCACTAAATGAATGTGAAGTTATTTTCTTTAAATTCTAAAATACCAAGAGGATTATCTCCATAGTGTTTAGAAATATTTTAAATAACACCCTGTCTAGGTTGTCCTTTCAGTTAACCTTGTGTATGTAATCATTCCTTACCGACTGCTCCCTCAGTTTGTCATACAGGTATCCCAAGCGTTTGCCTGCGTCATCAAGTTTCCTCTTTGTTTGCTGAGAAAGAAAGCATCGATATCCATTTATATCAAACAAGACCCAAATATTATTTTTTATTCAATACAAGCTTTATTAAAAACACAGCAACACTTAGATGCATCCACACACACACAGCTCCACTCACCGGGTCTCCTGCCGCGAGCTGGCAGCGCTGCACCAGGCTGTCGAAGGTGGACCTGAGCACCATGTGTTCAGCGGGGATTTCTTTCTGCTCCACCCGCTCTGCCGGCAGCTGCTGGAGGAGCTGAGGAAAACAAGGACACAAGTACGAGGAGTTGACGTGTTTGCCAGGTGAGAATTCGGGTAACAGCTAATTGTCACACTCACTAACCTGCACGCTGGGCTCCTGGGGGGCTCCGGGGGGGACTTGGGCGTGGTCGCGGGGCTGAGGGGCCTCCACTGGGAATCCCATCACTGGAGCCGTGATGGGGGCTGGTGGTGTGTAGTTTTCAGGGACCTGCAGACACGGTAAGACACTTAGAGGTGGAGGAACTATAGCACAAATGGGCTTGATTTTGAACTTTAGTTAGCTTGCAGTTAGCTCGTTGCTAACTGTCTGTCTGCTTTATGGGGTTGAACAGGTGGTGGAATTATCACAGCTTGTTTGCTGTAAACAGCAGCACTCTGAATGATGTTAATGAGCACTTCTAAGGGTTTGTCACTCAGGCAACCACTTTCATATTACACCTAGTCATTTAATTCCCTATTCATGATCAAATATTCACAAGTGTAGCTTTAAGAATAAACAACACTTTAAAATTGGTTGAATTATTTAAAGCTTCCCAGTACTACTGCAACGCCTGCATCAGAGCAGTGATTCTGAAACTGTGGTTCTTGCACCCTGAGGAATACTATGGATAAGTGGAATGGTTGTGGAGTAACTCAGGTGAACTAAATGTAAATAAATAAATTATGATGTGATTTCTTTTATATATATATATATATATATATATATATATATATATATATATATTATTGTTGTGAAAAGTCAGCAAACAGAGACTTTGACATAGATAAAAAACTATTGGTTATGTTCTTTATTCTATAGTTTTAAAGGGTATACAACTTGATTTGACGAAATAGTTGTAGACTGGAACACTTAATCAAGGAAAGCATACTATTATAAGCAATCACAGAAACCACACAGACTGTGGAAAAAAATGACCTAAATTAATATCTTCAGAGTTATAAATAAAGTACCTTCTTCTTCCTGGGTCCGCCTCGTACTGCCGGCGGGTCATTCCAGCCTTCATGGGGCCCTACGTCAGAGGATGAGTAAGAATGTAAATTACTTGCATTACTGTGCTGACACTCAAGCAGTAAAACACTGTCAGCACAAGACAATTCCTTTGAATTATTTTGAGTTAGGCAAAAACATGTCAATAAGCCACAGATTCCAGCCATTTATGCAGAAACAACTCATGGGCCAATGTTCAGGCAGCAGCCTCATAATCACCTAACATTAACAACAAACCGACGCTGGGTAATTAAAACAATTACATTTATATATTTTGTGTAGCTTCTGTATACATTGTTTAACATTGTTGTAAAATGTCTCCACTAATAACAATGTAATGACTAAACGAGCTGATAGTAGGGCTGCTCGATTATGACAAAAATCATAAACTCGATTATTTGGGTCAATAATTGTAATTGCGATTATTAAATGCGATTATTCATTGACTTTAATTGATTACCCTGAACTTTAAGTATAATTCAACTGAAAAACCAAAACAAATTATATAAAAAAAAATAAAAAAAAGTAATAAAAAAATAATCGTTTTATTTCGATTACATTGTTTTCGTAATCGTTGCAAGCCATAATCGTAATCGCGATTAAAATACGATTAATTGAGCAGCCCTAGCTGATATGTATGATCTGAAATAAAAAACCCTAAGCCGGTTTTGTTTGAGCCTGCAACATCTTTTTTTTGTTACAAATAATACAATATACAATATATATACAATACAATACAAATAAATGAGGTCACTATGTTTCCCTCAAGCATACAGTAGCACAAGCAAACACCATCCGATATACACGGAGTGACCAGAAAAAAAAAAGCATTAACCCTGTGTACTCAGTGCAATTTAATATAAAAGGAATGCAGGGATTTTGTGCTTTTCTGGTCACTCGAGTGTATATTTCGATGCACTCTTGTTCCACATCCATCCCTAACTCTGTCACCTTGATATTCAGACTGGGAATTCAGCCAGGGAAAGAATCCTGCAGGTCAAATGAGGTTTACAGATTAACCATGACCCTCAGCAACAGATCTATCATGTGTCTCTATGAGGGACCAACATGTACCTGTAGGAGGAGGGGCCACACGAGGGGCCGAGAAGGGCTTTACAGCAGGAGCTCCGGGGCCTCCTTGTGGGTACCCCGATCCAAGAGGGGCATAGGGACCAGGTGCCATGGGGGGTGCAGGCCCCTGGTTGTGGAGGCCTCCTGGGTACATGGGGACTGGGGCCCCGGGCTGGGAGCTGGGTGAAATGGGGCCCGAGGGTAAAGAGGTAGATGGCATGAAGCTTGTCGGTGGCACCCCGGGGCTAGGCATGGGGGGCAGGCCTCTGGGGGCCGATGACGGAGGTGATAGTTGGGGTCCTGATAGGTTAGCAGCTGGCATGGAAGGACCAGGAGGAGGGAAGCCTGAGGGCCCGCCGCCCGGCATACGCTGAGGCTGGAATGACTGATGAGGAAGGAAACCTGGGGAAGGATAGTTACATCAAAAAATAAGCTTAAAATAACTGAAAGTAGAGTACAGATAGTCAATGTAAACCCTAAAGTAGTGTAAAAACTGCATCAAGACATATCGTTTCAGAATATTTGAAATGGTTTGAAACTCATTTAACACACTACTGATAAACTGCTGACAGTTTGACCATGTCTCTCTTTTTTTCTCTCCACAAGTGTTAAAACACACACAGACACATCTCATTCAATCCTTGCATATTTAGTTTTTTTACTGTCCGTTTGCATTAATGTAAACAAATTGAAATGATGGATTATATTTATTGCAGTCATTCTGTTGTTCTCTACTAGTTGCCCAGTTGTTACTGCCTTGCTGTATGTTTCTCTCCCTTTAGAATGTAAAATAAATGTTATTCCCCTAATGTTGTATCGATTCTCCAGTGGTATGAAATTGTGAGGAAATTCTCTAGACAAAGAACCAGAAGACAAGGAGCACACTGATTATTAGAAAGCATTGACAAAGACATTTGCAGACACATTGTAGTGACACAACCTCTGATCTTCTGTCCCCTAAACGGCTCCAATCTCAGAAAGCCGGTAATCAAAACATTCCATCAGAAAAACCAAACCAGTTCGGTTTCCTGCAGAGAAACAGGCTCCAGAAGGGCTCGGCCTGATAAGATTCACCCTTTGACACATATAATCTAAAGGACAGAATGTTTACAACCTAGCATTAAGCTTATTCAAGAAGTATAAGGAGGTATTCTCTTAACACGGCTAATGAAGAGAGCCTGAGAAACAGACTAATCTCCATACAATAGGGCAGTCTAACCCCTAGGCTAAATGTTTGCTGTCTCTACAGACAGAGGAACATAAACCTAGGCAAGGAGTGGCCAATTGATAAATAAATTCTCCATCAGAAATTGTAAAGGTATTGTATTCAGGGTGATACATTCCAGCATTGTGACTAACCTGGAGCGGGAGCAGGTTGTTGGGGGTAGGGAGGCCTCGAGGCAGGGCGGGTGGAGCTGGGCGGCGGGACGTGAGAAAAAGGCGGGAGGCCAGGCCCAGAGTTGGTTGGCGTTTGTGGAGTATAAAACGACGGCATCGGAGGCTGCTGCTGCTGGGGGGCCTGGGGAGGGGCAGGTGGCTGGTACTGACTCTAGAGTTGGGACATAACAATATGTTTCAAATAAAAGTGCAAACATCCTTAATTGCATAGGGAAGACGCTCGCAAATTGCAAATTCATTCATACCATCATTTGTGCTTTTGGTGCGGGGGCCTGAGCAGCAGGAGTGGGCTTGGCTGTGGACACATTGGCTCTGTTGAAGGAGTTTAGAGGCTGCTGTCCACCGGCGGCCTCTTCCTGAGCGTGGAAAAGCCTGTCTCTAAGCATCGTAATCCCAGCCTGTGTGGGGGGGGACAAAATTGCGCAAAAGGGTATTTTTCAGAATCTAAAAGCAGAGTCAAACTTTGAATTTGGGGTTTGGGAATGAGGTGACTTGCTCTGTGTCTTACCTGGTCTGAGTTCTCCGGCAGGTAGGTCATGGCGGTGGCTAGACTGCCCTCTGCAGCCAGGATGCCGGCATAGCAGGTCAGCTTCTCGGCCAGGATGGGGCTCTGCACCACCACCTCGCTGTTACGGAGGCGTTCAATTGATTTACGCAGCATCATCACTTTTTCCACCAGATCCTGAAAAATACATAAAAGGAAAAAAAACATGTCAATCAATCAATCAATGTTTATTTATATAGCCCAATATCACAAATGTTACATTTGTCTCAGTGGTCTTCACAGTGTGTACAGAATATCAGTATGACAATACTGTTAATGTGACGGCAACATTCTTAAGTGCTCTTACCTTAAGGCTACAATGGTGTGTTGATAGTACACCTAATAAAAACAGTCTTAAAAGGTTCATAATAAACTCAGTATGTCACCACAAGCAACCCAAGTTATCACATTTCATGAGATTCTTGCATGTCTTTGCATGATACAATAATTAACATGAAATCTGTTTTTGCTAGGTTAATATTCTTCTACACCTGTTGATCATTTTCAGATGTGGTTACACAGAAGAATAAGACTTCACTTTCCTGCACACATAGCTTACTTAGTGCAACAGTGTAGTTAGAGTACTTTGTATATGCTACACGTATTGGAAACCCTTAACTAAAGGTTATACCTCCAGGCCGAGAGGGGAGGCGCAGTCTCTGTGCAGGGCCCAGCACTCCACCAGCTTCTCAATGTTCCCAGAGCAGATGTAGCACAGACAGGCTTGCAGGCAGCGCTTCTCTGTCCTCTCATGCTCCAACCTGCCACCCAGGGTATCTAGCAAGAAGAATTTCAGATTGAAACAATGCCAGACAGAGGGAAGGCTGCATTTAGAACAGGGAGGATCTGTACAACCATAAATGCTATTCAACAAGTTTAACAAGTACTCCTGAGTTGGTACAGCTACTCTGAAAGTGAGACAGCAGGATGATTGTGCCTCTACATTGGTGAGCAACTTACCACACAGACGGGCAAAATCTTCAGGGTGAGCGTAGGTCAGCAGGGCAGCGAGAGCCTCCTTCCAGTTGTCCAACTCACAGCTCTGCACGATGTCACTCCAGTTCTGGGTCACCACCGATGATATGAGCTGCAGTTTGGGACAGATTTATTGAAATGTCTCCCCTGTGATTGAACCGACTGAAACTTAATTAATCAGACATACTCTTACCATTGAGATGCTGTTCTTTTGGTTGCTTAGGTATTTTTGCTGGGTTTTCTTGAGCAGCTCTTCCCCTCCGCTGATGGACAGCAGGATGGCTTCAGCGTAGCGGCCGTCGTTCAGACACAGATCCACAGCGCCCTCAAAGTTACCCACCAGCAGAGCCTGGCTTATCAGACCATCAGTGTCTTCAAAAGAAACGAAAAAGGTTATTGAAAGATATCGAAACAGAGATATGTGTAAGTCGTGTGATTAATTGTGTGAGCAGATGACGGGCTTTACCACATGATACAGGGATCTGGAAGTTGGAGTTTTCCTTTGGGGTCTGACTGAAGAAGTCTGCCGGTGAAACGGAACTAGGGGTTGCAGCATCACCTTCATCGGCCCTCTGGAAATACAACAAATGGTCATTTTTAGAGTCATGCAAACACTTGTTTTGCAAAAAATTAAATATTTGAAAATAAACATTGTCTGTGCAGACTTTCCGACCTCAGTGGAGAGCTGCTGCATCTTTTGTGCCAGATCTTTGGCATCTACTCCGTGCCCGTTGTGCTGGAAACTCTTCCCAAGGCATTTTGAAATCTGAATAAACACAACAACATTTTTACAGCTCAGACATCAGATAAGGGTCACATGACCATTTATAAAATATATGGCATCTTAAAGCTACATTTAGTAATCGAGGATGCAAATAATGATTGTTTTCATTATCAATACATCTGCTGAATATTTTCTAGTTTAACAGTTGGTGTTTAAAATGCAAAATAATATGAAAAATATCCGTCTCAGTCCCTTTAGTTTTTAATATGATAGAAAACTAAGGAAAGCAAGAAAGGCTCTATATATTTCAGGGACTGAAATCAAAATGTTCTGCCAATTATTTTATGACAAAATACTCTAATCATTTATTGATTGATAAATGGTTGCCAATCAATGAATAGTTGCAGCTCGAAGAGGCAGCATACCTTCCTCTCCAACTCATCTTTGCTGAATCCCAAAAGTCTGAGGAATTTAACACGGGCTTCATCCTCGAAGTTAACCTGTAAACACAGAAAGTGAATATGCTTAAAAAACATTGGACAGATCTGACAGATTAATGTAGTGTCACAATATCAGGAGGAGGGGAGGGCCCACCAGAAGGAACTTCCATATGTCCTGCTCAGCGTCGGACTTGGCGCTCTGGATCTTGGCCTGGCAGTAGCTGTTGAAGGAGCCCGACTGCAGCGCCGCCTGCAGCTCCCTGGAGCGCTGGAGCAACTCTGTCTCCGTGGTAACCTGGCTCACAAACACTTGTCTGGGGACGGGCTGGGGGGCTCTGCACGGGAGCCGGCTTGGGATTCTCAAAGGTTACCAGCTTTCCACCAAACTGAGAAAAAAAAAAAAACACCAGATCAGCCATGAAGGGGAAAAACAAATGCTGTTTTAACACCTGGTTAAAAATATTTAATTTTTCACTTACAGCAAAGGAAGCCCCCACTGGCCTGCGCACCCACTTAGGGGGCTTCTTCAAAGGGGAGACAATGGTGTCCTGCACTACAGGCTGAGGAACCTGCAGGGGAGGAAGCACCTGCCCTGTGCCAAAGGGATCCATTGCATCAAATGAGGAAGATATCTGTAAAAAAAAAAGGTGAAATGTTAACACAAGCACTTCACAAACTCTGTCCTGTAGAGCTGAAACACATAGTTGATTGACAGGAAGAAAATTGTTTTAAAACTGGATTCAGCAAAACATTTTGGGATCCTCAAATGTGAAATTGTTGACATAAATCCTACAAAAGAAACACATTTAAATATGTCTACTAGTCATTTAAATGTGTTGTTATAATATTGTTCATTCCTCATTATCAATCCTTGCACACCAGCACCATCTTGTGGACAAACATTGCAGTGCAGCACACGTCCTAGGATTAAATAAATCGCATATAAGAAGAGCCACTAACCGTATCAGCTGTGCTTTGCTGCTGAGCCTTCAGACTCCCTCCCATCACGGAGTACACGGTGATCCTCCCATCGAATGAGGCAGCTGACAGGAGGGCCGGATTCCTGGGGCACCACTGGATATCGAAACACCACTGGTTTGTTGTTGGAAGCTCGTAAATAACCTGAAATGAAGAAAAATGACATATAAGAATCCAAAGCAGGGACAATAATGAGGCAAGGTCATTCATGCATTACATGGAGAAAGCATCTACCTCTCCAGTGTTTGGATTCCAGCAGAGGATCCTGTTGTCTTTAGCACTACTCAGCAGGAGCTCGGGGTCCGCCTGGCTCCAGGACATGGACAGAATTCCCCTGTAACAAGCAGAAGGTATATACGGTTATGACATAACATGACTACACAACTTAAAATACCACAAACTGTTAAAGCCTCACCTTGTGTGGTTCTCAAAGACTTTAAGAGGGGATGTAGCAAAACGGAGGTCCCACATCTGGATGACTGGCATCCGATCATCCTCAGAGGATAACACCAACTGAGTGGCCACCTCAGGGTGCCAGAGCATTCCTGAATAATGCATCTGAAATCACAAACAAACGAGACAATAAACAAAGGTTTAATTTCCAATGGTATGAGCATATGCGATATTGCACAGAAATCATTAATGTTTATATGCGTTTGTTATAGCAATCTAATCGCAAGCCAATAAACAAAAGTTAGAGGGTATGGCTTAGTGATATGAACCATAAAAAAAGCCAATCAGCTGTTTGACACAGATCCTTTGCTTTGTGTAATTGTACTGGCCAATGGTCAGACTCTGCATTGATTATTGTCCAGTGGGCTGTGAATAACAGCTATACACATGTTCAATCATCTCAAACATGTTAGTATATGGGCTTTATTGATTGAGTCATAAAACTAAAATAATTCTTGCAGTGATTTGGCAGAATGAAACGTTCACCAACCCGGTTGCTGTGGTCACTGATCTTGATGATGGGCTCGTTCTTTCTTAGATCCCAAACAACCGCTTTCCCACTGGGGTTGGCAGAGGCCAGGATGTGCTGTACCTGTCTGTTCCAGGACACAACACTGATGTCTTCAGCAGGCTGAAAGAAGAGGCTGTTACTGTCAAACAACCTTGACTGTGGCTGAGGCTTCCGGTCATAACTCACAGACTTGAAACTACAAAGGTAAAGAAACTAGAAGAAAGTGGCTAGTTGTGGTTTCTATTTTTTGTTTCGACTCAAATCTTAAATTTGGTCAGGATCAAAACAAGAAAGTAAACTCATCTCTTTCGACAGACACTAAAGCTATGATCTCTGACAGCACCCACCTGTGTCTTCGCTCCTGGTGTCATTGGACTGCTAAAGTTGTTCAGATCCCAGATATATATCTCTGAATCATTTGCACCTGAAGCGAGGAGATTACTCTGTGAGAGGAAAATTGAGAAGGATTAATGGTTTGTTCTTCAGCACCAGAACAAAGAATCCCTTCTGTATAGACTGCCTATAATGACACAGACACATTTGACCACATATATTTACCTGAAACGGGTTGAAATCGAGTGCTCGGATGGGTCCAGTATGTTTGTCCGACTGTCCGATTACTGCCTCTGCACCGGAGCTCATTATGACCTCTGGGTTATATACAGTTAATGTGCCATTTTCACTGCCAGCAACCAGTCTCCCTCCAGTACCATCTTCTCCCATTCCATAATTCACCCAGACAATACTGTGAAACCTATGGAATAGATAAAGTATAGTGAGTTGGTTGAAACATATTCATAGCCAGAGTGTAAGTGTTTAGGTGAGCAGTCTTCTGCTTCACATTTTTGTCTAAATCCCACCTAAAATATGAGAAAAAGAGGAATAAAACAGATGGGAAAATAATTACCAAGGATTAAGTGTTTTCATTTGAAATCAGCCATTAATTATTTCCAATTGAGGTGAACACCATATTTGTTTTTCAAACTACACAATACTGAGCATAAGGTAGAAGATGGGCGTCTTATGTGTAGAAAGTGATTTTCTAAAAATAAACTGTGTTACTAGGGTAATCATTTGATCCTGACTAACAAAATACTGAAGCTTCCAACTGTATACAGGGCAGGCCTTCATTCTGTTCTAAAAGGCCACATCCCTTCTCTACAGTGGTTATTATAGATAGTGGTAGTATCTTATTTGTGTATAATGTACCTGTTTGATGTGGGTAATGACCCTTTGAGCTGCATCTCTAAAGATGGGTCAGAGAAATCCACCTCAAATATCTCCAGGGCTGATGTGGTATTAAAAGAGGCATCCAGCTGCTGTGCTGATGTTCCCAATGCCAGGTGGATAGGGTGGTGTTCAGCAGGACTCCACGCCTGGTGGGCAGTCCTCTGGATCTCCTTCAGCCTCATTTTCCTAAGTGTCAAGTCCTGGACAGATGAAGGAACTCCAGTACATCAAGTATAAAACATGTATTTCCTAACAATTGCTGTGGGTTAACAATATATGTTTTAATACCTTACAATCTGCCTTCACAACTGAAACACCTTCTAGTGTAACTCCAACAGGGTAACACCCTTACTGACAGATTGTCTCCGACTATTTCCTGAAGCTGACGGCTAACGTTAACCTACGTTTGCCGATACAGCTAGATTTTACAGGTGTTCCACAGGGTTTTATAACCAAAATGTAAGGTCAACTGCAACATGAATACCGGTGATATAATACATACAATTGTCGCAGAACCACCAATAAGTTATTTCAACACAAACTAACATGACATGTAGTTAGCTAACGTTAGCATTCCGCACCTCTAAAAATGTTTCATACAGCCGTAGTTAGTTTTTATAACATGTAACACATAATGTCTGAAGCAACCAAAGCCTCACTCAAAAAGGAAATCTAATGTATTATACATGCCACTACACAAGTAAGAAGTCATGAGCAAACAGCTTAACGTTGCCTACAGTGCCTGGTAGTTTCAGTATATAACCGTAGCCGGTGTTGCTACAGCAATTTAACCAACAGCCACCACCCTTGTTACCATATCAACAGAAACGTTGTGTCTCAGACAAGATTTAGCTCAGCAGCAAAAAGGTAAATATGTCTTTGAGAATAACTCACGTCAACTGTCTTTATTACAGCTTTCCTGCCGGCATCCACAACAAACTGGAGCTAGCTACTTATCAGCCAAGCTAGCAGCTTAGCCGCAGACAGCTTCCGATCAAAGTACTTTGCCGTGTTGTCACACTGAGCTACCGTAGCCGACAAGGATATTTCTCATTTGGTCTTGGCCTTAGTTAACCCCGAGGTTGCCGTTGACCCAAAATATGTATTTTGTAAATATCCTGTATTCACAACAAATAACCCGATAATCTTCAGATATTCTTTGTCACTTATTAGTCACGGTTAAATCGTTTAATTGTTGAACTATTTGCCATCTATTTCGTTACACTGTGCTTGCATTTTGTAATGACAATAAAGTAATCTATACACAAAAAAACAACACAAAGAGGAATGTAACTTCATAGGAGTTTTTATTATTGACAGAGATATATATACACAGTTAGACTCATCCAGTCATTAGATTTTATAATTTACGACTTCCTCTGGTTGTTTTTTCGGATCTCCTCCTTTCTCCAAGTACAGGTTGTTAAAGGGATACTGTTTTGGTGCCTGGAAGAGAGACAAATGCTTTAGTACATGTTGTGTACGTTTTTAGATAAGAAACACTCACCTACAGGTGACACAGCACAGAGAAGAAGATACATTTACACATTAACACTGCTACACAATTACTATTACATTTTTCATTATCCTCAAACAGTTAAACAGTTGATTAAAAGTATTATTGTGCGTGAAATGGAGTAACAGCAAAACAGAGAACGGAAGTAGCCAGGAAAGAGTACAGTATATACAGTAAACAGGGCCCTTTATTTTAATGAATATCCACAAGTTAGTTTCTTAGTTTCAAACAATCATACTGTGAATTTTTTCTACTCAAGTGTTTATTTGAACTGAAAAACTTTATTAATTTTATTTTACATATACTAAATTACCAGAAAGTTAGCTATAATGAGCTATTACTTAGATGGACAACATGTTATGTACCCAACAATTGTGCTGTGTGTTTGTCTAAAAGCAAGTGGACAAAATAATCAAATTATATGTATATATAAAATATGTTTTGGTAATCAACCCAAGCTGACATGAAATAGGACAGCAAAATGGTTAGGTTATGGTTTATAACCCTTAAATGCATAATGGAATAATAAGTATATATACACATCTAACACAAGATGGACTAAGTAACAGTTGTTTTTAATTTACAGTATATGTCAGATAATTTAAACAGGAAAGCAATTTGAGTTAGTTATATACTTGTTATACTATTTAAACTTTGGATTGGGAAGCGTAAAACATCAGGTGGTTACGTAACAAAGTGAAAGAAAAAATATTAAATAAGAGCGAGTGGTGATTTAAAGCCAGGAATCTTCTCACTTTTAAAATGTTGTTTTACGGTTCGATTTTAAATTACACTTTTTATCACATTTTTTCCTCCGTAAAGCGTCTTTGAGCACCTGATATAGCGCTTGATAATTAAAATGTATTATTATTATTACTTTTAAAGTATTGATTAATAGACAATTCACAGTATCTACCTAGTACAAAAACAAATCACAGCAACAGACTTTACTTACAACAGGCTGGTAAGATGGATATTTCTCCCCAAGGTAGAACATGAACAGCATGAACCCGATGAAACCAAACAGCTGTTTGCACATGGAGGACCAGGACAAAATGGTGGGAGACGTATCCACACGGTTCCTGGTGAACATGTCGAAATGCCAATGTATCTAAAAATAGACAGAGAACAATCAGTTCTCAAAAGAGCAATCTCAAACTGTAAAAAGGTGTAGTGCCTCTGTACAATCAAGTTGATCTGACAACAACCAAAAGTGATTGTGTCTAAACAGATGAATGATAAACTGCACGGAAACATGTTTTTATTTGATTATTTCTAGAACTGTCAAAATATAAAGTTACAATAGTGTTTTCACAGAGTAAAGACCAAATATGCATGTACCTTCTTCAGAAATTATACAATATTATGCAGGTATTTAGTCTCTTAAGGGCAGCAGCAATGCACAATACATACAATTATGTATTATTAATAGGGATATTTAGTTTGTAAACAATTTGTGTAGGAGCCATTTCCTTGGTTTATAAAATGTATCATTTTAGAGTACATTGATAGCATGAGATTGTGTGGTGTATATTATGTATTATTTAATTTGAGTGTGTTACTCCTGCAGGTCACCACAATATATACTTTGGAAAAAGATTTCAAAGTAACAGCTAACATATATTTTTCCATTTCTGGGGCACATTTACAGAAGCAACATGACATTACAAACAGTGGCAGCATCACACTTTACTTATGACAGTCACTCAGAAACTACTGATTGAGTTAATTACTCGAGCAAAGGTTCACAATTGTGATGTTTGTTTTGATAAGTGAAATATGTTAATTATTACATATAAACAACATATGTTGCATATTAGGTTTGGCAATTTCTAATAACTTGTAGTCTGTTATACAAGTAGTTTTATGTTGTATCTGAAGGCAATAATGTCATCAGTCTCTTACCGGCTCTCCCCAGTTCCTCCTCAGGTCAGGGTGGTCCCACTGGTACCAGGGGTCCCTCTCCTGCTGAGATGTATCTGGTAGCTTTGGATAATCACCATAGCTACAAAAGCAAAGATGGCAGTTAGTCAACCCACACACTTAATTGCTTTGTTGCTGGCGAATTAGGCATTGGAAATGGTTGGTACCGTACACAGAACAATGGATGAGCTGAACAATACTTTTCAATACCGCAGAAAGACAACACTTTTGAACTTCCATGCATGGCTCTTAAAATAAAGCTTACCCCTCGCCCTGGTTGGGATATGGTTTATAGTCCTCCACCCTCATATTGTACTTCTTTGCAGCAGCAGCCTTCGCTTCGGGGGTCAACGGGTAGGAACTAGGTAGATCAGCCTTTGAACCACCAGAGGCTAAAACACAGACGATTACATATGTGAATAAACCAAGTCGAAGTAAAAGGAGTTCGCAAGCTAATAAGAATCAAGAAACAACAATCATTGTGCTGAGAATATCGGTAGCCGCTCAGCTAGCCTATGCTAACGTTAGCATGTCAAGGTTACGTTGATTCGAGGCTTTATGCTTTAGACTCTGACTCCTGTTTACAGTTACTGTTTACAGTTTGACCGAAGTCTGTGACACTACTGACCTGCTCTACATCCCGGCAAAAGGGCTGAAAGGCCAGAACCTTTCCCCCTGGAGAGAGCCTGGGCCCAGCGTCGGAAACCAACACCAGCCATGTTTACGGACTGCTGCTGTCTGACAGACAGAAGTACGCATGCGCTAAATTGAAGTACGGATCGGCACAAGGAACAATTTCAATACATACTAAACAGATATTCATTCATCTCTTTAAGTTTCATTCTAACGCATTGAACTTCTGCGTGAGCCATTTAACCTGGCAACAATATATTAATATCACAAGTGACAACTTAAGGAACTATTAGAAAATGTATTTGATAGTGTTTTATTCATCTTATATATGTGTGAGTGGCAGGCACCATCATATTAGAGCAAAGTGTGACAGTGACATGAAAACTCCTCCAGCGGCTGAAGGGAACTTGTTCTCAGAGTGAATGCACTGAAGCCCTGATCCCTCGTTCCTCTTCCCATCAGATCCAGCTCAGGTGCAAGAATGCATTTACTGGGGGATCGTCACTCTGCCGCCAGTGACAAATTGAAGAAAATCAATCAGAGAAGTTCTGCTATGTCCTTCTCCACATTCTCAATGGGGCAATGAAGTTCATACCTGCAGTAAAGGGAAAACATTAGTGACATTATTATAGTTATCTATCGTCTAGCCTAATGAAGGGCTGATTGGGTTTCTTACTCACTGTCTATGACCTATAGCTTTACCTTTTGAAGGGCAATCCATCTGCGGTAATTAGGAATTTTTCAAAATTCCACCGTATATCATTGACTTTTATTGGGGACCAGTATAACTTTTTCAAATCTCCAATAACAGGGTTTACATATGGCAACGATTCCTGTTAAGAAAAGGAACAGTGTATGTAAATATATACGGTTTAACTTAAGTGTCATCAGCTAAACGTATTCAGAATATTTGTAAAACACATAGCCTACCTTTAGATAGGTGAAAAGAGGCTCTTCATTTATCCCATTCACCTCAACCTTTCCAAAGACAGGGAACCTTGGCACAAACCCCCCACCAGGTCTCACGTACTTAAGAACGTTGAGGGTTTCATGATTGACCTCTGAAAAACCAAAGTACAACAAGTTATTACAAATGAAAACCAAGTGTTTATTCACAACTTTGTGTCAAAGAACTTGTATAACGTGTATAAATGAAATTAATCAAGGTAAAAATACTGTTAAAATAAAACTGAGTGAGTAGTATTTATAGTAACATGAAATGGACATCTTTAAGTATTATATGCGTGACGACATTTTCGTTAAAACTATATGGCAGTTGGGTAAATGTACAAAGTTAAAAAAGAGTATACCTCATTCCTGTTGATACAGTATAATATACCAGTTAAAAAATCTGTTATTTCTGACTCTTTTCAATATCTTCAGTGTACTCACCAGGTGACTGAAGGCCAAACTGGTTGCTGGGGAATGCCAGTACAGTAAAGTTAAGGTCGCCATACATTCCCATCAGTGCATTCAGTCGGTGGTACTAAGGGAAAAGGACACAAAATCAGAGGCCATTGATACAAATGAGTGCACAGGTTATGTGTTATGAGATGTTGTGATCTGAGTGTAATCAATCAGAGCTCTTGAAGAATATTACCTCCTCTATTGTTGACCCTCAGAAAGTAGCAACATTGATGACGAGAAGCACTTTACCCCTGTAGTTACTGAGCGGAACCTGCTGTCCATCCAGGGTCTCCACAGAGAAATCATAGATTGATTTATTCTCCATGCTTGTACTTTAGCTTGTATATGGGATTGTAGTCAGTCAAGAGTGAGTATTCACCCGGCTGTCCTGTGGCTCATCTCATTCACTGAAACATAACTCATGGGTCAGCAATTGTTCAGCATGACTGACTTCATTGTTCTCCTGGGCAGAGGTGAGCTGTTCAGCATACATGTCCCAGGAAAAGAGGCTGATAATGTGGTGACAGCTAATTGGCCTTGGGAAGTTACAAATTACAAATATATGATTTTGGCAGCATCCTTTTCTCTTTAGAACTGACATTTACAGAAAAAAAGTTCAACATTAAGAGTACGATTGGGCTGTTCGTACATTCATATTTTCATTTGTTGTGCAGCTTTATTATAACTAAAGTTGCTGCAAAGAGAAAACTGCAGTGTATTTATATGTATGTTTAATTCTTCCTAAGATTTGTAAGCAGTTATTTAGAATAATAAGCTGCTTATGTTGTTTCGTAAATAAAGGAGTTCCTTACAATCAACTTGACCAAACATTTATGATTCTAGGAGGTATCCATGAAACATGTAGAAATATTTGTATCAATAGCAAATATGTTAATTACTTTAACATGACCATTGACGTAAACCCGGAAATTAAAGCAACTGCTGCGTTTATGTTCATCGTAGACGCTTAAATCCATGACTATATTGGATCTAAGTAATCTAAATACGAGTTCTCTGACATTTAATACAAATACTTGTATTTGTAAACTACCAAACATGTACTCTTTAAAATTATGATGGCAGTTGGTGTTTTAGTTAACAAGTGTGGTGGCGTAAAATGTGACTACTTTGCATTACTTGGAATCACAATGAAAAATTGGTTATAATGGAGCGATAACAACATATATGTGTGGTTGTATCATTCTTTAATATCAAATCCTGGCTTTCATCTTCCTTTAATACTTCCTTTGTTAGTATCAACAAGGTTTTTGGAAAGATCTTGGGCCATTACTATCCTAAGTAAAGTATTCCGACAGCCCCTGAATGCAGCATTGGGTTTGGGCTACACCTCAAACGCTTTCAAGATGCTAAATGAAAATACGTTATTTTGGCATCTATGTGAAGAACAACAACTGATCACAAACTCTGTATAGCACTGTTGACTCAGAATGGATGAAGAAGCTCAGATGCAAACGTAAGTGCCTTTTAAAAAGAGAGTTGTGTGTTTAAAAAGCAGCTGGATTGGTAGCCCCGGCAAGCTAGCCTCTCAGCTAACAGTGATAGCAACAACAACCACAGGGATGTACCATAGCTGGCTGTTGCTCTCATTTACCTATTTTTGGCAGCATGCTTTAATTATAAATAACCGTGACAAGGATGATTTAACATTACTTATTGCGATATTATTTTATTGTAATTATTCTTAATTTAGTACACGTTTATTAACATTTATGTGTGGTTAATATGAGTGTTGTGAGCGTTGCATGCAGTGTCAAAGTTCAGCTGTAAAGCAAGGTTTGCATTTCTTCAGCAGATGCCATATTTTGGACTTGCCCTGGGAGGATGTTCTTGTTCCACATATTTTATGCTTTCTGTCACTGCAACACCTTGTGAGCCTGCAGAGGGTGAGCAGGCAGTTCCACAGCCTCATCCAGGTGTATCTGGCCAACTGCAGGACTTTTGATCTGTCCTCGGTAAGTCCTGATATTTTTTACAGTAAATATACATTGAGGAGCATGTTGTGGAAGTCTAATTCTATACATAATGGGAAGCAGACATTTGAAATTTTACTTAAGTTTTGTTTACAACTTTACTTATTATTTTACATATTAAAAATATTAATACACAAAAAAAATCCACTAATGTATTACGATATATTATTACATTTTAAGCTACCGGGCAGTATATCAAGTAATTAAACTCTCAAACTTTAAAACTGGATGAACAAAATAATATATAATAATAAATAAGTATATTCTGGAAATATAATGTATAAAGTTCTTCTGCAGTTCTGTGTGGTCAGTACTTTTGGTACTTTTAAGTATATGTTGTTGCTGATGCTTTTGTACTTCTACTTAACTAAGAGTTTTGAAAGCAGGGCTTTTACCTCAGAGTATTTCTACACTGTGGTATTAGCAGTTATGCTATTGTATATTATAAGTAAAATATGTGAAAACTTCTTCCACCAATGCTCTGTTGTGATGTTTTCAGATTGGACCATCAGTTCCCAAGGAAGCGTTTTGCTCCATGTTAAAGGACAACAAAGTCCTCCACAGCCTGTGTCTTTCCAGTTGTTCTGAATGGGTGACAGACAAGGAGCTGCTGCCAGTTATCGGCCAGAACCAGCACCTGCAGAGAGTGGACATGAGCAGCTGTGTTGGTCTCACCCGTCACTCCCTGGTGGCTGTGTCCTTGAGCTGCATGCACCTCCAGCACCTCGGCCTGGCGCACTGCGAGTGGGTGGACAGCCTGTCGCTGCGCAGCCTGGTGGACCACTGCGGGGGTCTGCAGTCGATCAACATCACGGCCTGCCGCCAGCTCAAGGACGACGCCATCTGCTACATGGCCAAGAAGTGCTTGAAGTTGAGGTCTTTATCCCTGGCAGTCAACGCCAATGTCACTGACGAGTCGGTGGAGGAGGTGGCCAAAAACTGCAGGGGCCTGGAGCAGCTGGACCTGACAGGCTGCCTGCGGGTCAGGAACCAGTCCATCAGGTATATCATCTCTTATTTTCAAGTGTAATCCAGATTTGTGCCATCCCTGCCCACACTGTTACATGCACCACCTCTCTTGATCCTCTGCATGCTGTGCTCACAGGACTCTTGCCGAGTATTGCCCGAAGCTGCAGTCCCTGAAGGTGAATCACTGTCACAATGTGACAGAGTCCAGCCTGGACCCTCTACGGAAGCGCAATGTAGTGATAGATGTTGAGCCGCCCCTACAGAGGGCTCTGGTGCTTCTTCAGGATGTGCTGGGGTTTGCTCCCTTTATCAATCTCCAGATATAGGCAAAGGGCCATCACAGGTAGGTAATATGAGCAGCATATCTACTGTATGAGTTTGTGACATGTTCATATCCAAGACTGAGTTAGAACTCTCCCACAATGTATTTATAACGTGTCTATTTGTAGCAGATACTGGTGGTGATCGCATTTGCCTTCTTGTTTCAGGTGTCTTCATCAACATCACATGTGCACGTGAGTTGTTCTAAGAAACGTCAAGATGTTTTACACTCAAGTTTAAAAATAATGTGGACAAAGAATCTCAGTGGAATGTGATCAAAGATGCATATTGAGGATGAAGCTGAAAATAAGTCTACATTTGAAAAGACTGAAGAAAGCCATGTACTTTTAAGAATTGATGTCTCATGTCCAAAAGATGTCACTGCACTTTCATTTAGTGTTTTCATAATGTGGCTTTATAGAGAAGCAGATATAGCCATAGTAAAGTGAATTGTTTTGTTGTTTTTTAACCAAAGTTTACTTTGACCATATGACATTGTAAGAAACAATTATTTTATGTTTCATTTAGGAGCATTACAAATGTTTGAGTTTAATTAAACATTTCATTTTGCATGTTTATGACGGTTTAAAGGATAAATTCACCCAGATCACGCAGAAAACATTTTCTCACTTACGATTTTATGTGTCCATGTTTTTATTATCTGCACCACTGAGTCTTCTGATTTTACCACAATACAGTGAAGATAAATGCAATGTTGTTAGTGGTGCTGTCTAGTGTCTTCCAGAAACGATCCACAGACTTCTCTGTGAACCCTTTTTAATTGTTTCCTAATGCAAACTGTGTTGCTCTCAGTAACACCAAAACTATCTGCATGGCTAAATGCAGAGATTTGTGAGAGAAATGTTTTCAAAATGTGGTGATGCGGGTGAAGTACCCCTTAGAACCATACCGTTAATCAACCCATTTCTTTTCTTTTAATTAAGAATGGGTTTTTATTAAGAAACATTCCCGTTTAACACTTGAAATGTATTTTGTAAAAAGTACCTAAATATCTGTTGCCTAACAAAGCACTTGGAGGATGTAAGAAATATTAAATTCCAAAATATCATAAGAATGGACTGTTGTCAATATACTACTATATAAATCTTCTTCAGTGTAACATCTGGATGCACAATCCATCCGTTTCTCCTATAATGTTGAATCCAACACCTCAAAGAACACATCTAAAACCAATGCTCTCTTTTGTTTTCAAATTTAGAATTTTTAAAATAGCTTTTTTTTAAGGAAACATGCGGGCAGAGCCTTGTGTTGCTTAAAACTACCAACTCTACTGATTTCATGTAACAAATAAAATAAAACATAGAATTATATAATCACATTTATAAAGAGAGGTGTTACTGTGGCTCCCTTTTCAACACCTGTTAGGAAAAGTAAGTGTTGTTTCTCAAAGACCAAAAAAGTTAGTTTTTTTAGGAATAACTTTGTGTTTTCAACAAGAAAATAGTGACTAATGAGTCCTACTTTTTTAATTTGAGCTTTCTTAATAGATGAAAATGAAAAAAAATGGCCCATAACTTTTAACTTTCTCCTGTAATTCCTTTTAATTCCAAGTGTAAGAGGTTACTGTCAAAACATTGCAGTGGTGGAGCAAAAGATGGCTCTTTATCTGTGTTGTGACTCAAAGTGACACAAGGTGGCAGCAATGAGTCAGGAAATGTGTCTATTTTAATTCTGTTTGAGAGATTGCATGACTTCAACACTACATCCAAGAAAAGTAGTAGTTTACAATGTTAAATAGGTCCGAGCACATCACCTGTGTAAATACTTTGAATGTCTTTTTCTAATATTTAAAGAAGAAGTGTTCAAAACTAATGTTTGATGGTTTGGGGGATTGTGAATATAAACAGCTTTACGATAGTTTAACACCGGATGCAGTGAATGCACAATAAGAATGAATGCTTCCCCTTGTTCAACATCCATGGTACAGTTTCCTCTGGTGGTCCGATTGGCCGATATATTGTAACTCTCCTCTGCGACAGCACAACAGGTCTATTTTCCACTTGATGGCATGGTTTACCCCATCTGCTGCGTGCTGTCCACAAAGCTGCGTTTGCACCAACAGAGAGTTGTGTTTGGAGGGCTTCAGGGATCGACCAGCGTCCTTCTGTTAGCTGTGCTCATCATCATATTGTACCGCTGTGCCTCCGAAGACACATCACAGTGTCATTAGTTATAAAGTCAATCTTGAAATTTCAATTCTTAAAGCATATCATGCAGTAAACACTCTTTTAAATAAAAATGAGCACGTTTTTCCTCTCATTCTTAAGTGTCGTTAGCATCATGACCTCTTTTAAATAATACATGATGCAAGATGGATATTATCCTTGTAGCATAATGCATGGAGAATTTCAATTTACTGTAAGATAGGCTTTTTGAAATAGACAAATAACGGCTTTCATCTTTATTAATTAGAATAAATAACATCTTCAGTGTGCAGTGGCTGGCCCTGTTGCTGCTCAGCAGTCAGCGGGTTAAAAACGTTTCAGACTCCATTCATCATATAGGACCTCAATTAGCATTGATCTGCAGGGGGGAAAGAAACATAGCTGCGTTATTATATACCGTGGAGCAATTTCTGTTCCAGTGATTGAGTGTATGGGGGGATTTCTCAAACATAGCCTGCCTTACATATTTTGTCTTCCTGTCAATAATCTGGCACTTGTCTAAATTATTGATCAATAGCAACTGATCATTTTATACCCAGGCACAACAATGAAGTTGGTCCTTTTTTTTATTCTGCATGCAGTTTTAGCTCCCGGCAGCGTGTAATATACTGTACTTATTACAACAAAGAATAAATCTGGGTTTAATCTCTGGCTGCTTTTAAAGTCCTCTGACAGAATAAGTTACTGATGCAGTACAGAGGCATCGTGAGAGTCACTCATGTGTGTTGTGGCGGCTGGTTCACATTAAAAACATAGCAATCCTTTTAAAAACAAAGATTTATCATGGTAGACATTTTGATTTCAACGAGTAGGGAAATGTACAATAACATTAGCTGCAATGGCTGTTTTAAGTGTCCTAGATAGGGCTGTGGGAAAGTTTTTCAGGTGGGAAAGGGGCTAGATTCTATATTTTTATTTATAAAAGTAATTCCCTGCCCTGCATTAATAATATTTTATGTGGAACCTATTATGGTTTTTGTGCTAGGAAATACAACTGTAAACAATTACAACTTTTACATTTTTGGGAAGTTGCTTTCCAAATAAATATGGTTGCCTCTCTTTTATTAATATTAAAACAGCATTATGGCAATATTGTGTTTCTAAAGCATGTTTTCCTTCTTTAAAATAGCTATTGGCCTTATATGTACAGGTCAACTACCATTTGTCGTCCATCACAAAGCATCACAGTCAAACAAGAGACTTCAATGTCAATTTTACCTCAGGCAAACTGTAAATAGAATCTAATTTAGGTTGGAAACCAAATAAATTAATGCATTTTTGGGAGCAATTTTCATTAGCCAACTGAATAATAAAGAATTATCCAACACTTTTAAGTTATCTATATTAATTTAACTCCAGAATGTGTAAAAATAGATCCTGTTAAAGAAACTAATCAGAAATCAGTTTAGGCCACCTTTCCTTAATTAAAAGGAGTTCATATAAGGTGGAGAGAGAATTACCGTAGCTTCAGATGGGCCCAAAACTGTGTCAGAGATTCTGTTCATTTTCATATTTTTAATTAACAGACTTCACCTCCCGTCTTCCATCAGTGCATGAGTCTTTCTTTCATTTATTTGATGTAGTTTATCTCCTCCAACCATTCATACACAACCTTATTGGATCCTGCGACTTAGGGATCGGTCCTTTGGCCACCAGAGAAGCATAACTAATGACAACATTACAGTGGCTTTGTGAGCGTGGCCATCAAAATGTCGATCAACCAAGCAAGAAATAATGTTGGGTTTTAACATCAGCATGAATAAACATGTAGAACCTGGTTTCAATTTAGGAAGATTTTGAAGTTGTTGATTAACACAAGAACAATCTACCTCTTCAGGGTTCATATGTGTGTCATGGATGTGAGGCTTTAATGAAAAAAACACCGTGGTGATTCAGGGCACGAGCAGTTGTGTTCTCTGAGTGAATGACATTGCCACACAAGACGTCTTCAGGGTGCTGTCTAATTGAAGCGACATTTGAAGCTTTGCTAGGACTCATAACTGTCAGACCCATTAGCATCTTCCTAATTACCACTGGCCCCACACCGGACAGGAAACACACGGTAAACTAGCTCTGGCTGGTTACTCACATAGTTTATGAATGAATAGAATCCAGTGACTCACAACTATTCAATGCTTTGGTGAAGAATGTGTTGGCCCAGTTCTTATTTGGGAAAATAAACATTTCTGTGTTCTCATGATATTTGACATATTTTCCATAATTTGAGATTGACAATAGTTACTCAAATAATTTTTGGGACAGTTTTGTCAGTTGGCAATCTCCCTCATGCAAAGCCGTTAATGAATTGTTTAGTTGGTCAAGAGAACCTTAAGGAATCCTCATTATCGTTTAATTTGTCAAGCAAATATGTCAATGGTCCAGCTTTTAAGATGGGAGGATTTTCAGCTATTTTTGTTAAGAGTAACTGTTAATCCTACACAAAACAAAATGAAATGTTGACTCTAATTAAATGTATTACGTCAACAGTAGTAGGTTAGTTAAAAGCAATAATATTTGTTTGAACTTAATATTATTGCTTTCAACTAACCTATTACGGTACATACATTTAATTCAAGTCAACGTTTCACTTTTTTCAGTGAGTATATTTTGGTTTTGGAGTTTAGTTTACTGGTAACTGCATGCTCCCTGTCTGAGAATCACTGTGGGATGCTATTGGCTAAGGGAAGATCATCACTGGGAACTTTGACTGCACAATTGCATTTTTATAACAGCAAGTCACTGTGATATAGTTTCTTTAGATTGACTGCATTGAACAGTGATAACTTTAGCAGTGTGCTGTTGTGGGATTACAGTAACCTTACAATACATTGCAAAGTTAAAACTTGTACTTCCTGTACAATAGCCCCCCTGTATTGACTCATTATTAAATACAGTAAAGTATTATATTGTGGAATATCACAGATCAAGCCTGTGAAGTGATTATAGTATAATTGATTCAGATGTATTAGAGGTGAATCTTGGGATATCCCGTAAATAATTAAGTAAAATAATGTACATTCTAAAAAGCTAATAATTCACTTCGAACTTTTAACAATTAATCCGTTACCACTTTAAACGTTTTCCACCACTTACTCTTAGCTTTTGAGGATGTGACCTTCCTCCCGCCAGTGTCACTCTCTGACTTCAAGCCTTCCGACACCCAGGCTCGAGTCCAGCCCAATCCTCACCACTTAGAGGCCACGTTTCTGTATCTATACGCTCAATTTGCCTGCAATATAAACACACTGATTTACCCAATAGAGAATATGTATACAATAAGCGTGACGAGGATCCGTCCTGGCAGGAGCATTTTGCCCTCTGACTGATCTGGGCTGCTAAATTGTGAGTAACTGTGTTGAACTTGTGTCCTCCAGCCAGCAGAGATCAGAGTTCAGCGTTCTGCCGTAATCACAGATCACATCTTGTTATGCTTAGTGGACACTGAGAGATGCTGGAGGCTGTCTCATTTACTTTGTATGGAGATTCAAATCTGATTAAGGACAAAGAGTGAGAACTCTGAATTCACTGCACAGTGCTTGGAGACATTCTGCTCCTTACTGGCACATTTCACATAATAGAATATACAGAGGGAATGTGTGAATATGATTATTTTGGGATATAGTTTGCAGCCATGTATAGATGCATTTCACCTTAAATATTGAAAATATTGAAACAAAAGTTGCCTCCTTTGTCTCATTTCTTCTCAGCTGCTTCACAGTCCAGAACACGAGGAAGCTCCTATTTGACAAACGGAGAACAAACAGCAAAATATGTGTTTAGTACATGTCTCGGCCAGTAGATTAATGACATTAACGAAGTTTCCATTAGCACAGCGATCGGGGGAAGACAGAGGCGTCCATGCGTAAATCCACATGACTGAATCACTGATAAGAGAAAATGAAACACATCTCTATGGGCCAAGAGGGGCCAGGAAACGCCACTCCAAATTAGCCCGCGGCCCAATTTGTTGTTACTTCATTAACCGACCAGCATCTGTAGAGCAGGGGAGGGAAGTTGTGACCCATCCTTTGCCTAAAAAAAAAAATCTTCATCTGCCTTCACTGGGCCTTTTTGAAAAAGAGGTTCCCTTTGCAGAAAGGCAGCCGGGAGAGGATCAGCATGGGACAGGAGCTTCCCCAGGCAGTGTTGTGCTCAAGAAGAGTTTCTTCCCCATCATAGAATCATATGTAGCATGTTGATGTACTACAAGACAGTTTCATTTAGCTCAGGTCGACATGTGAGAGCTCATTTTTTTCCCTCCCAACCTGATGATTTGTTGCATAAGCTCAATGCCGATATTTCCTCTTTGCAGTCCATTGTGTCATGGCTTATTCAGTAGTTATCAGATGACCTTAAGTTTTCATATCTTTACCCTTTTCAGAGTATTTTTGAGTCCATGGAGTATAGAGTTTCAGATCATGGAAGATTAATTAAGGCCTGTGTTGCTGTCGAAAGCATTTTGCAATGTTCATGTGCTCACTGCTGAAATGTGCTGTTAAAACATTTGAAATAGCTGCTTTGGAACAGAGGCTCATAGACAGACAATATGTAAAGGTTTTTTATTCAAAAGTTATGTTTTAAATGTGCACCTTTTGAGTAGAGGAATATATATTTCTTTGGTGATTTTCCTCTGTTTCAAATATACTAGGAGACGTTTCAACATAGTGTTTAATTATGCTCTTATATGTAGCCTACATATGTATGTATGTATTATGGTGTAAACAAATCCCTTGGAATTTTATTAACAAAAAACTAATGTATGAACCAAAATAAATGAAAAGCGTACGCTGTATAGCGGCAGCACATCAGACCTGCAGTGGATCAGTGGAGCTTCAGGTGTAGCTGAGGGGCCTTCCTGCTCTTATCTGCTGATGGAGCTGGCTGTCTGGGATGGCTAGTTTCTTATCTTCCATGGTCCGCTAATATCCACAGGGGACCAACACTGTTTGGCACCCTGAAATCCTTTTTCCTCCACCGGATGGGAATTCAGCCTGGGTGGATCACAGGGGGCTGGAGACATGGATGCCATATGGCCTCTTTTTTTATTCTCTGTGGAGTTTGGGCCTTTGGGATGCCCAACATCT